TAAATTGAATGCGACGATGAGACTTGTTAAGTACCTACTACTATTAAGTGAGTGAAAATTTTTAAATAAATTCTCTGATTTGAAGTTTTCCTTTCTTAAGTCGCCCGTCAAGACAAAAAATGCTTTAAGAGTAGCTTCGAAAGAAATCGTCCGTAGGCACTCTAAGGATATACAGCGTTATGACGTCACAGCGACGGCCACATGCTTGAAATAGGTTACTGTTAATTTTGGAGTAGTTTTTTTTTTGCATACGTTCATGAAGGTTTTCTCTACATTCATAAGCACATACATATCAACATATATCTATGTATATATATCAAGTCTATTAGACGCATTAAGAAGTTTTAGCACTTAAAAAAGCTTAACTTTGCAAAATGTGTGGCAAAAATGTAATATAATTTCCGAATGATGATTTATGTTAAATACTTTAAATGCGATGATTGAAAAACTTCTCCTTAACCTAAATAGGCGATTCTTGAAAATACTTCAGCTGTAGGTATTTTTATTCACACCGATTAATTTTGCTTTACAAGGCGAGGCGATTAACAAAGTTCGGCCAGTTGGTGACTTTCAATTTGTTTTTTGTTAAATCTAAAAATACCAAATCCTTTGCATTTACTTTATTAGTCTTCCTTTCAATTTTTAGAGCGGTCAGCTAAAATGGAGACGAGAAAGCGCTGAATGCCAAATGTATATGGAACGATTGCACCGACTTCAAAAACTATTTCTAGGTAGTTTGTAAGATTCCAAATAAAACATTTTTCCGTAGAGGACGAGCCCCGAAAAGGTCGACCAAAATCTTCCACTGATGACGACACTGCAGCTCTGGTGAAGTCCAAAATTGGCGAAGACCCACGATTGATACATGAAAAGATTACTAATGAATCGGGCTTGAGTGCCATGGCTGTATCGCGAATATTTAGTAATCATCTAAGATACACGAAGAAATCTCTACGGGTACCAATTTGAAATGAGGCCCTAAACGAGGCACGAGTGCATTTTGATAAATTTTTCCTAAACAAATTCGAAAATGGTCAGTCTAGCAACTTTAGTAAAGTCGTTCTTGGTTCTATAAGTACGATCCAGAAACCAAACAGCAGTCTACGGTATGTCGCCCAACAGCTGAACTTGATAAGCTTAAAAAGCAACATTTTGAAGACTGTTTTCCGAGGTAGATGAATAGGCAATACGATTATGTAGAGAAGATAAAAAAGGATAAAGATTACGAATAAATACAAAAATAATTTCTTTTCTGGTGAGCTTACTGAACTTTTGTTAATCCCCTCGTAGATGACTTGTAACATACCGAGTTGAAATAATTTAGCTTTGGGCTTACTCAATGAATAGAAACTCCCTATACAATATATTGAAAATTTAGTGAACTAAAGAATGGTTGCTGGATCCCCGTGATCTTATTTGGTTACTTATCTGATTCGTGCAACGCTGCTCAGGTTGTCAATGTAATGGATGGCAGATGGATATTTATGTGAAGCTTTCTTTTTTTGTCAGAAACTCCTTCGAAAGGCTTCACATTTCCTACATTGCATATTTCATGTTGTAGTGAATAAGTACCACGTTTTAAAGTCTACAAACGGCTTAAGAATTATAAGTTAGCGATCTGCTGGAATATCCAGTCCCTTAACTGAGACAGTACCGCTATCCAGCTGGTTGTTGTCCTTGCTGCATTTCAAAGCTGACATCATCCCTGCTCAATAAATATATTAGACCACATAGTGCGGACTCAACACAATAGTGATCATCTAGCCACCAACAGAATGCAAGCGAAGGAGATGTACGCCTGGAGAGCACAGATTTCAAAATCGTACTTGTTGATTTTAACTCTAGGATGGGCAGATCAATATTAGGTAGTCCAAAAAACTCAGCCCCCAGGATGAAACTGATCGATTTCACCAGACCCGAAAAATAATTCTTTATAGCACCAGATTCTGGCACAATAATCATCAAGCAACTTAATTGTTCCCGGATCGAAAAACTTGCCTCCATGTAGACGTTCGATATGCCTAAAAATTTGCACCGAAGGCCTAATATCGACTCGGACCACTATCTTGTAGCAACACAGCAGGCAGCCGGTCGAGTTTCTGCTCTCCTGCTCTTCGAGAGCAACAACTCGATATAAGGAAGAAAAGATACAATGTTAGGACAATGAGAAATGCTCATCAGGGGTGCACACAAAAAGACTCTGCTTTCCTCACAAATTTGCGATCGGCCTTAAAGCGAACAGTAAAAGAGAGATACTTAGAGCTTAAAATACGAGTAAGAAAGCAGATGGATATGTAAAGATGCCGAAATTGGAAGTAAAATAAGTTCGGAAGCTGGCAGAGAGAAATAAAGTTTTGGAATTCTATAAAAAGATAGGGTGATATCGAAAGTAACAACACCCATGTGGGGACCAAGGAAACGAACATCGCTGCTAAATGGAACTCAAAATACAACACCTGATATCAGATCTGGTAGATCTTTCACTGACCCATAATGATGCCTTCGACAGCAGTCAAAAGATCTGACATCAGTTACCCCAACAGCCGTTAATGCTGCTTTCTCCAGATTAGACATAAACGAAATTTGTCACGGCATCTAACAAACAGGCAGCGCACTCACTTTTATTTAGTTGGCAGTCATAACATTAAAGGCGTAAACAGTTACGCCTATCTAAAGGTTTAAAGTTTACTTCCAAAACGTCATAATTTCGATGAAAGTTGTGTTACTAAGTGTCAGTGTTGATGTGCCTATTGGTTCTGAAATTTTTAATAAACAAGTACCTACCGTCCTGGCACTTCGAACTTTTTTGATAACCCCCTTAAAAATTAATAGATCTCAATTGGATACTGATGTCACATCTCGATAGCGCTGACTTACATATGATTTGCTACTTTTAAAACGGTTTGAAGATAAATCTTTCGTTTCCGATATTCGATTATTATTATAGGGTTTTTTTTCTTTTTCAACAATCAAACTACACCTTCAACCCCTTCGCCCGCTCCCTAGGAAAATAAAAAAATTGTTTTAAATTATTATTTTGAAATTTTATTTACAAATAGATTTAATATTCTTCATCATCCAACTCAATTTCTGAATAATCATAAGAATCATCCGTAAGTCGCCAAATTCTTTCGTAGAATTTCGGAGCATTAACCTGGTCGGCCAGCTTCTCAAGCTCCTCATACTCACTAATTTCGGCCTCTTTCTTTTTTTTTTTAGTCTGCATATGTGTCTTGCTTCCCTTTTCAGCACGCGGTATCTAAGATTCCTTAGCCATTTTGTTCAGCGGCAATTTTTTAGGGCATGTGATTTCCTATCGCTTTTATACTACTTATTCCTTGCTTCTGAAGCAATTTCTCCTAAACATCCAACCGGAACCAGCAATGTATAATATTAATTTTTTATCTATCGTCGGTGACATTGGATACCAGGGATAAGTGTTAACATATAAATACGAAAGTTTCCTTACAAAACTCCTTGAATTTATCAAGATCAATCGGATGCTCGCTTGAGATATTGATCAAACCCACATACAAATTGTGTAAAATATTTTGATCAATTCTTGTAATTGATGAAAAGAACTGGTAATTCGCGAATGCTCTTCTAGTCGTGTTTTCATCATTACCACTCCCACTTACGTCTTGCTTGGGAATACTTACTGCAGCACTGAGTTTCCTAAATTTTCCTTTTTTTGGTGATCAGTTTGACTTTATTGGGCTGGGTAATATGCCACTTTTGAACTTCAAGTCTAGAGGATTTGTTTAACACAAATTCAAAAAATCGGATTCAGGCATGCAATTGACTGACCACATTTCCCGGAGTCGCAGGTCTTTGTTTAAAACATTCGGAGACAAAATCTGTAGTTTCGAGGAGATTTTTTGGTTTAAACCCTCATTTTGCACAGCACCGAGTTGCTGACTTCATTCATATTCATTATTTCCACAAACCAATTCGTTACGGCAGAGTTGTCGCGTCAATTGTGGTCCCAAGCCTCTAGCAATGTCAAACGGGAGACTCATGTCATTTTTTTTTTTTCAAAAACGGGCAAAGCGGACAAAGGATATTAATAAAACTTTTATCTATTTTACTTTGACAAAAGTCATATCAGTTTTAGTTGCTCGCAAGAGCGCGCGGCTCATAATTACATTCCACGGAACACAATTATATTTGTTAAATATTAGCTGCGAAAATACTCTAACAACAATTGACGATACACACATTGGTATGTGGACAGGTATGTGGACTGTGCGATTATTTGCCATATTTCCAAACAATATTCAATTGAAAGAAAAACCCACAACAAACGAGCTTAGTAATATGCACGGCTGTATTTCCACAGGTCAAGCCTGCTTTGATAAGCTGAATTGGTTTACGCGCCAATTTCAAACTACTCGCTTTAAAATTTTTTTTCGAATTGTTTTATCCTCTCTTCAGTATGCATAATTGGAAAACTCATTCAATTTCAAGTTTATAAAGTATAAAAAATGGACTTTATGCAAAAATTTCGGCAGTGGAATGAAAGCTCTGAAGTTTTTCAACTTACCGAAAGGTGACAAAGTAAGTATTCCCGAAAATCGTAACTAGTTCTAAACTAACTTCGGTTCAAACTCAATGCATCAAAAACGCTGGGAAAGAAGAACGCGTACATATTCCATGGTATGTAAAATATTTACATGTAGATGTTTATTTATATAAGTTAGATCTAAAATTTTAAGAATAATGGAATGAAATATTGATCACAGGCTTTTGATACTTTTTAATCGGTTTTCTAAATCAGATTTTATCAGGCTTGAAAGAAAATAACTTAGAAAAATGAGGCATTTTGCAGAAGATACGCAATACATATAGATCGTAATAAATTCCGAAAATTGTTGTATTCCATGATTTGAAATATATTCTTATTATTTAAATATATTCTTTTTCGAAAACAACAATTATTTCCTGTCGGAGAAATAACAAAACAAAATATTATATATAGGATTTACATATGTAAATAAATAATTCAACCGCACTTTTTGTTGGTTTTTACATTTAGTATTATCAGCCCAGCGACAGATTAGTAGGTGGAAAGTGTTTAAGCTGCTCCAACATACCTTTCCAACAACATGTCTACTATTTTACGGGTACTTAACAATGGCGTTATTGTCGCTATTACCGCCACTTGTCACTGGAGGGCCTAATTGTTGTTGTGGCAGTTTCCTATCCTGTTCCGGCCGCAAATGCTGACGACTCTGTTGTTTATCAGCAACAACATTTACCTCACTTTCCAGGCGCTTTGAAATTACCAACGGTGTACCGGGGTTATAAAGATGTGTGCCGTAGTGTACGCCAGCTGGATGAATAAAGTAAGGCAGCCCAGCACCTGACCACGATGGCCCAATGCTGTTCACAGCATTTTGCTGCGTCATATACACTGCTGGCTGTTGAAGAGGCGCTTTCGTAAGTATGACATTTTGTGGACTTATCGCTGCAACTAACGAAGCAGGCCCATTGAGTGGTGACTGCAATGGCTGTACGGAGTGGTAGGGGGGTGCTAAAACAGTTTGGGGTGCAAACAATGCGCTGGGTGACGGTAATTTCACTACGGCTGCTGCATGTTGGGCTGCTCCAAATTGCACCGGAATGGCATAAGGAGACACTGGGTGCTGCTCAGGCGGTGTTGCTTGCACATAAGCAGGGTTATAGAAGTATACTGGAGGTGCCACGGGCAATGCCGATGCAGTTGACACATGCTGAACTTGTGGGGATGAAGGCGATGGTGATGCTGCGTCAGTTGCAGTAGAGTGTGACGAGGATAATGCCTGTTTCATTGTTGGCTTCGTGCCACTGGGAACGCTTCGTTCATGCTGCTGCTGCTGTTGCGGTTGAAAGTTATGCTGAGCCTGATGTGCGTTGCGCTCATCGATGGCATGCGGTTGCTTTTGATCCGATGCTTGAGCTGCAATTAAAAATATATGACTTTAAAGCTCATTACGCATTTATACATAATTTTCATAATTTTCCAGTCTGTATTTTATTTATGTTTTCTTTTTTTTACTGTAAAACTATTTAAGAACATTTTCCTATGCAACTCTCTTGAGATAGTCGCAGAATTTTTTGCAGGGCACCTATCGATTTTACTACACATAAAAGTCTGACATGCATGAGAGAACTCGCAATATTGCTTAATGCAGAAATGCATTTTAATTACCGTAATGTTGCAGCTGATTACGCTGTTTGACCTGAGGTTGTTGCGGTGCATGGCGAATAAGTTGCGGCTGCACGTATAAGAGCTGTGGTGCGGGATACGCTGCCGGCCGTGATCGGGCTATTTCTTTAAGAATCAAACTCATTGCAAATGGCAATTGCTGCAGCGCCAATGCTGATGGAACTGCGGCTTGTGCACCAGCCTCGGGGTCCGATTGTGGCGGTGCATGTGGAGCATATTGAGTGGGCGTTTGTGTGGGGAAGTGTTCGCGATTTAATGGGCTTCCGGCGCTGCCCACTCGAGTAGGCTGTAAAACAAGGAGTGGCGGTAGAGAGACTTGCGATGTTGGCAACGGCAACGGTATTGCCACCTGTTGTTGTGCGGGCGCAGGTGCTAGTCCATGCTCTGCTGCTGATTGATATTGTAGCTGTCTTACATACGATAACGGTATGGCAATGATGTAATGATTCTGTCGAGCAGGTTGTTGATATTGAGGATGTGTGGGCCTTTCAAAAGCGGCATATGACGGTTTTTGCTCTAATTGCTTTTGAATTAGCGGTTGTTGATTTGGCTGTCTTTGTTGCTCATTTTGATTAGCTTGTCGTTGTTGAGTGTAAATATGTCTTTGGTGGTCCGGCGCATGCTGTCGCAGTTGTAGTGGTCCTTCCAATGGTATAATATCTGCATTCGGTGGCTGCGTGGAATAGTTTGGCAAATGTTTTGCTGGTTGTACATATTGCTGCTGATTATAACGTGGGGGCAGCTGGTACTGAGATTGCTGCTGCAATGTCTGAGGATGTGATTGCTCTAGATGCAGCTGATAGGGCTCCTTGAATGGTCCTCTATAAGCATGGCCCGCGGTTGTGGTAATAGAAACTGGATTTGAATTCGGAGGTCTGTCATAATACGCCTGAAATTAGATAAAATCGCATGAGCGATTGTATGTATAACGGTCATAAAACTTGAAAATCATTTCGATAATTATTTAAATAAAATTATTTAATCAAACAATTTGTTCCTTTCTATTTATTGTTTTTTTTTAGTCACTAATGAAATTCTGTTGCCAAGATCTTTTGAAGCTTAGATGTTCTGTTCTTATCTTTGTCGCAAGAATGCCGTCGGACATATATATTTCTTGACCTTTTAATACTGATTTATTCAGCTTATGCCGCCGCATGTCGGGAGGGGCGTGTTTAACAAGATAATTGCTTTTAGTTTTAGACGCGTTTTCTCAAAACTACTTTTTTCAAGTCGGTGCGTAACAAAACTCAAGAGTAACGCTCCGATCTAAATGAGGTTTTTCATACGTCCTTAATAAAGGGTGAGTTTTTAAGAGCTATAGGAAATTTTTTAAACAAAAAAAAAATATAATTCAGAAAAATGCATAAAATCTTTATTTGACCAGTCCCGAAAAATTTTTTTTTATAGTTTGATTTACTAGAAATTCGGAAGAAAGGTGCATTTTTATCAGGAAGACTACACTTCTTTCCGGGAAGCTGACCGGGGGCTGACCTATTCAAAAAAGCTTATTTCTGGATCCAATTACTTGAAATTCGCTAGGTAAGTTAGAACAAAAATTTTGTATTTCCCAAGAACTGCGAAGCGTTGCAGGATACACCTAGTATATGTATATATTTAAATGTGTGTGTGTGGGAAGACTTGTAATTCGTGTACAATAATGCATTAATATCAATTGAGGGCATTTGCTTGGCAGACGGAATCAAATTCCTGGTACAATTAAGAATTGTGCCACCAAATCGATCAGTTCATGATCTCTTCGATCGTGGTTTGCACTGCAAAACACATTTGAATACCAGAACGACATAAAGCTTATAATGCAGTTCTGCGAATTGTTTTTTCTTGATGCGCCTGGAGGCACTGAAAAAGCTTTCATGTTCTCATTTATTTTCCAATATCATTGCACTTGTGATCGTTTCATGTGGACTGGCAGCAACTCTTTTGGACGGCGGTAGAACAGTGCATTGCGAACTAAAGCTACAATGGCACACAAAAAATCAGTAAAGGAATTGAACAGCTTTTTGGTGGAGCTGGTGATTTTCGAGAATCATTGCCATTTATTCCGCATTTAACGCGAAATGTCAAAAACATAACTTTGAAAACCAATGTGCATGTGCATCCGCTGAATGCCAAACAATTATTGGATATTGGAAGTGGCAAAATGGCCATTGATACTTCTACAGGATATATAACATTACCTAACTAACTTTTGTGAAATTGCAAACGAATTAACCAAAAGCCTTCTTCGAAATACTTCAAATAAATACTAAAATAGTCAGTAGCTCAGTGCACGTGCTACTTTATCGGCCAAAAATGCAAATACCCGACGAAGCAACGGTTTATAAATCTCTAGATACCGTTACCAATCAGCGCGAAATAATCAATTATTCACTTGAACATTTGAATTCACTTTATTCACCAAGTATGCCGTCGCCTATTTTAACATTAAAAGTGGGCGAACCTGTCATTCTTCTCCGAAACCACCACTATGCGGTGATACTAGACAACAATTTTGAGTGGAAAGTTTAAAAAGGAGGTTGTGCTATTAGAATCTAAGCGGCTGCGATTTCCAGTGAGACCCGCCTTTGCATTGACTATTGATAAAACACGAGCACAACAACTAGACTTTTGTAGATTGATTTTTGCGAACTTTTAATAAACTTAAACTTTTAATTAATTGTAGAGAGTTGGAAAAAAAATTCTATATCCCAAAGCACTTAAAAATTAAGTTAAAATATTATCCCTGATTAATTCGGAAAAATGTTTTATATAAATACCTATTATTATATGTTTGTAGATAAATCAATGATTTAATTTATTTTGCAAACTAATTAAAAAACTTAAATTGAACATAGCAGGGTCTTTCCCTGCAGCCTGTCTGCTATTTACTTTCGTCTGCTCCGTTTCGTCCGAAGATGGTTATTCTCCTCCCTCGAATTATTTTTAGATGATCCTTTCATCTCAAAATATTCAATAACTGTTTCAAAATCGCAAACCACTCGTTTTCTTTTTAAAATGGCAAATTAATTAACTTAGATAGACGCTTTTAGCAAATTCCTGGTCGATTCCAATATACTGTGGACTTTTGGAGGAAAACGCTAATCGCTACAGAATTGTTTTACATTCTACTTTCAGAAAGTTTATTACTCAAACAAATTAAACTACCCATTACCAAAACGCGAAAAGATTAGAAGAAAAAACTTCTGAATACGATGCTTTTTCCAATAATTGTTCTAGAACTGCTGATTGCCTTCTTCTTTGTAAAAGTATCTTATATTTTCGCTGAAATTGTCTATCACAATTTTAAAAAGCTCGTTTAGATGCGGTTCGATAATGTACTACCTTATGTACTTAAATTATGAGATGAAGTTCTGTATATATCAGGTGTACAACTTTGCTTCCGCCGTTTTCCGATAGGTGACAGTACCGGCTGAGGCTGGTTGAAATACATAGATGATAATGTCTTTAAAGTGGGTGTGGACGTGTTATCCTCCAACACGACAATGCTCGGCCTCACGTCGCAAAAGTGGTCAAAAAGTACCTGGAAACGCTAAAATGGGAAGTCTTGCCCCACCCGCCGTTTTCCTCAGATGTCGCCCCTTCTGACTTCCACCTATTCCGTTGGATAGCACACGGCCTGGCAGATCAATATTTTCAATCCTTCGAAGAATTGGAAAAATGGATTGCTTCATGGATAACGTCAAAAGAGGACTGCTTTTTTCCAGCCGGGATCCGAAAATTGCCGGAAGGATGGGAGAAAGTTGCCGGTAGCGAAGGACCGAAGGACAATACTTTGAGTAATATATCTGTAAGCACTTTTTCGCAATAAAGCTTTTCATTTCGGAAAAAACCGGCGGAAGGAAAGTTGTACACCTGATACATACTATTAAATCACATATTCAGCGCTTCATTAAAACAAAATGTATTCCGTCCGCTGTGGAAAGTGTCATATCGCAAAGTTATATTCTCTCCCCATACAGACAGATCAACTAACTCAGTTCGTGTCATTAATAATTGATATTTCATAACACGTGTTTTGAAAAGGTAATTTAACCTTATCGAGCCTCCTAGAATTCACCAACCATGTCACCAATGGTTTCAAAACTAGTCATCACACTGACTTCCGCAAAGCATTTAAGGTCTCTCGTTTTACACTTCACTTTAAATTCGGGTATTCTCTCTTCCTTTCTAAAATTAATTTGTTTTCCTTTTCCAAAGATTTTACAAATGTCAGACTCTTTAAATCAGTTTGTTATATAGAACAACTTGACCTAAATAATTTAGTAAGGTTTTTAATGAAAATAAGTGCAAATAAATTTGTTTCTCTCGGAATTTCCCAATGTCTTGGGCATATGATTCATGATCACAATGTTTAGCAAGTCAATGATTTAGATGACATAGTTGTCGCAGTAGATCCTAAGATAACTTTTAGAAATCGTAAACTCTTCCGCTAATCGAACTGTCTACTCTCCATAGTGATAGAGAGATGCCTTCATATTATAACTAAATTCATAAAAGGTGTTATCAATGGCTCATTCCCACCTAACGAGCTTAGCTTTGGCATCCTTTCAAGATCATCTTTACACTTTGCTCACCCTTTACGTGTTTGTGTAAAACAAAATTTAAATTTTACGGGTGGAACGATAAGCAGAACAGCGTCTGTGCTGCCAGTTTCCAATGCAGTACCCGCCGGTCGATGCAGAGGAAGACCAGGTAGATAAGAACCTAGTTGTACTTGGTATTTCCAATTGGCACCAAACAGCGAAAAGAAGGAATGAGTGGGGCAAGGTTGTTAACTCGTCTATAATTGCGTAAGACCCACCCGGTTGGTTGGGCGGAATTCGGCGACATCAAAACTTTTGCAACATAATTTTTAGGGAAAAAGTATCGAACTCAAAACTTAATACCGATGATTTAGGTTATTATCATTAATGATGAGAAAGGTGGGTGTAAAGTTTAGCCAATTGACATCGTGAAGATTTCATTACTTTTATTTTTATTTTTTTTATTTTTGTCCTGTAAGCGACCTTGTGTATTTAATGTACTAACTCCGGACAAACCAAAATTATCAGAGAAGCCGGCACTAAAATTGTTAAAGCGGCTTTAAAGCGTAAATTTATGTATTTGGGGACGAAATTCAATCAAATTTTAAAGGGCTCCAGAATAATTTAATTATTTCTGAAGCATTATTTTATTATTATTTCTACTAATCTTTTTAAAAATATTCAGAAGAGATAAAAATTTAATTTCTACAGAAGAATATCTGGTTACCTGTGGTGCCGCTTCCTCGGCTATATAACGTACAGTTGTCGGCTGAAAAGTGCTCGGTAACTGTGAAGGTGGAAGTTGCTGCGGCCGAGGCTGTAATATTTGATACGGTTTGCTTGTTATTGGTCTGAAGGACTCATCTTCTTTAAGCTGGAAAGTTGTTGGCCCTGCAGAATTTCGTGTTGCACATTAAACACAATTAGGATCGACGGAGACTTCGGTATTCGGCATATTTTAAATTACTCACCTATTTCATCCGAAGAATCACGCTTTTCTGTTTTACTTTTTGTTTCTGGCGGTAGTAAAGCTGGGGATTTAATTGTATGAATAGTTGTTTCCACTGCTAAGCTGTCACTAATGCTCGTTAAATTTTCGGCAAGAACCGTATAAAAGCTCACAAATAAGCAAAAAATAATCTGAAAATTGCAAAATATTGCACATATAAATATATAATTAAATATGATATATATATGTATATATATAATATTATATTGTATTATAATAGAAAAAAAAGATAGATACATTAAATTATAAAATTTACAAAAAAAAATATTATGTTATATATAGCCAGCCTTTCCAGCCTTACAAACTTCCAATTTGTGAGCGTCTAAATATTTTTCCAGCAAATGGAAGAACCTACAGCATTTCAACCTAGACTATTCCGGGAAGGTTTAAAAAATAGCTGGTTCACTGAGAACTGCCATGACACAGTGGAGAGAAAGCAGGCAAAGTTGCGATTGTCCACTATACGTGCGGGATATGATATAAATAATTAGCGCTTTGTAACCGCTGAAGCGATTTTCGGTCGAGCTCTCCTCCGATGTGTGGTTTATACGTCTTGACGTTTTCCCAACAAATGGAAGTACCTACAGTTTGTACTAACCAGCCTCCGAACGGCTTACGGTTTTTGTATGAGTGGCTTTATTTCATGTCTGAAAGACACTCGAAAGGGGTTGGCATTTCCTGCCGAGGGGCGACCGCAATTAGAAAATTTAACTTAATTTGCTATAAGTTTTTAGATGTTAGTACAACACCAGGATTTGCAGGAGAATTGAACAGGAAATGAATCAGACCGAGATGTGTGAGTATCAAAATTTTTAGAAGCTGGCCGATGTGGATAATGCTCAAAAATTCTATGAAAAGATACGACGGCTTACAGAAGCCTTCAATACCGTGGCAGATTCTTGTAGGACACAAAGAGGTAATCTAGTAACTGATGCTCCGAGCATATTGAATTTGTGGAGAGAACTCTTCTTCAGCATGCTGAATGGAAGTCAAAATGAAAACCCAGCGATGGTGAGCCCGAAACCGAAACCTTGAAAAGGTCTGCAGAGCTAATAAGAGAAGGTACAATCTTCAATAGGAGTGTACAGATGCTTGAGTTCTGCTTTCTCCATACTGCATAAAGAAGCGAAAAATATGGGTCTGGCTGTGAAATAAGGCGAAACAAAATATCTCCTGTCATCAAACAAACAGTCATCGCATTCGCGGCTCGGCTCTCACGTCCCTGTTGACAGTTAGAAGTTGTAGTCGAAGTTATCGTCTATCTTAGAATCAGTTACAACCAACAACAATGCCAGCCCCGAAATCGAGCGCACAATTGGACTTAGTAGGCAATTGAGAAGTAAAGTACTCTCTTGACGAAGGAAACCGCAAACGCTATGAGTCGCTTTTCGTTCCCGTCCTGCTATATTGTGCGGAGCCATGGACGATGACAACACCTGACGAATCGGCGTTAGGAGTTTTCAATAGAAAGGTTTTGCGTAAGCTTTATGGTCCTTTGCGGGTTGGGAACCGCGAATATCACAGACGATGTAGCCTCCACTCTGTCCGGAAAGACCAGTTAGATAAGAATCTAGCTGTACTTGGTATTTAAAATTGGCGCTAAACTTAGCTATAACTGCGTATGCGGTAATGTAAGTAAAAATGGAGGAACCTATATATAGTTTATTGCGATCTTTTTATTTCATGTCATAAATACACTCGGAGGGCTTAACATTCTCTGCTGAGACGCGACCGCAATTAGAAAAACTGATTTTCTAGAATTTTGGATTTTGGTCGAACCTGGTCTCGAACCCTGGCCTTCCAAATAGCAGTATAGGAACACATCATGTCATAGATTTATGATGATGAACTTAACGAGGTGAGAAACTTTGCAGCGAAATTCACAAAATCAAAATGAGCTGACGCTGATTGACTGCGCCGGCGTTCGAAATATGATTACATGTGGCATCAGGTCTTTTTATTGCGTTCAATCGTATCCAGGCTTATTTTTCAACATTGACATAATGCATTAGTAACTCTTCTTCGCGTTTTATTGGTGTAAGGCCAGAAGTGCAATTGAATGCCAATGATGTGGAGGAATTATTTGTTTTGCAGGATAATAAGTTTTTTTATTTTTTTTCTTTTATGGAAAGCGTGTAAAGAGAAGCGCTTCATGGCACATATTTTACAATTATGGAAAACTAAAAACATTCAGGTTATGTTATAATATCAAAAGCAGTTAATCAATACTTACCCGTAAATTACACATGATTTATTTCAATACAAATATATATGTATGTATATAAATAAATATATAATATACGCTCGTTCGTTTCACACTACGGTGGATTGCTTTTACATATCCATCTGTACACGAAAAGTCTACAATTTGGGAAAACTCAATTGAATGCTTGTAACAGTTAATAGATTTTTGGTTTATTCGCTGATTTGCATATATAATGTTGCTAATTCAGTATGTACAGAGTTGTATTTATTGCAGCAATGTCAATTTCAATTAACTGAACAAAATTAAATTATCGCACGACCGACCGAACTTGTTTATTGGACGCATGTACCTAAATACATTTTTACATACTTACATTCATACATACTACATATATTAAATGATGAGCACAAAATAGCAAACGTAGAAATACACAACATGCCAATAAAATTAAAATTAAGCAAAAAAATTGTATGTGCGTATGCATCATGTAGAAAAATCTGAATATCTGCATGTATGAAATCTACACTCCATGTGGATGAAAGAGTCCTCCAAAACTAGACACGATCTATCTAAAATGTATGCTCCAATCAGTATTACAATGTCCTAGAATAGAGCCATTTACTCCAACATTAAAGTACTCATTGCGGTACCCACACGATATTACTTTGTGGAGTATCTACGAAAAATTAGAACGAAATATGGATTGCATGCGATAGAAAGCAATGTAAAACGTAATTCTTGTACAAGGTTTTCCAATAAGGGGTGTTATTTTGATATTCAAAGAAAAATTTTATTTTTAGAGATAAATGATCAGATGTTTATTTCCATGAAGAGGCTTCCCTCAGCCAAATGGCCGCCACGGCAAGGCTTATAGGACCATATCGTTTTTATAATATATTTTCTGTCAAGTAAAGTGACTGCTGTATGCCCTCAATAGCGCCACGCATGCCATCCTTGAGGTCTTGAATCAACGTTGGCCTGTTGGCATAGAGCTTATCTTTCATGTGGTGCCAAAGAAAACAGTCGCAAAGTGATGATTTACAAGATCTCGGTGGCCAATTGCGATCACCTCTGCGAAAGATAACGCGGTCGGGTGACTTTTTCCTTAAAAGATCGATAGTTTCTTTGATTGTGCGACACCTAGCGCAATCTTCTCGAAATTAAACGTTGTTCAGATCAATACTATTCAATTCTGGGCATTAAAAATCTTTAAACTTATTTTGATAGCGCGATCCATTCACGGTAACTGTTGAGCCGTGAAAGTAAGGTCTTATAATCCCACCAGACCATAAACCGCACGAAACAGTAACGCGTTGAGGATGGGTTGGATTTTTTACAATAAATCTTGGGGTTTCCTATCCCCAGATGCTACAGTTTTGTTTATTGGCGTAGCCATCGAGTTGGAAATGGGCCTCATGAGGGAAGATGATTATTCAACGAATTTCTGGATATTTTCAGGGAAATCCGCCGGCTTGAGTTCTTATGTTAACTAAACTTTCTAAGCTTTAAGACCTAAGTCTTTATGAAAAACACAGTATTATTACACGTTTGGGGAATGTCTACATCCAAACAACGACAGTTGTTCTTGAGCGACAAGCAAGTTTTTTAATCATCGCATCACACAATGTCCCAACTGCTCCATTTTTTCACCTCTTTCCATATAGTGGTCCGTCAAGGTGCTTCAGAACGACAGAAAATATTTTAATTTTACCAACCGTCTCTGCCATTGAACTTTAATAATTGCAATGCGTTGTGGATGCGTAGTTTTCACTTGTCAAATGTCATGCCTGCTTAATCCAGCCATGAGTTGGTCCACCACCGCACCACAGGCAAGTATGTTGCAAGTAATCGATTGTCTAACAGATTTTGGTCAAGTGGTTCACATATTTTTGCAGCATTGTTAACAAAAATAAATAAAAACATTGTGGGCGGTTCTACATTTTTGTTCGTTTGTATGCGTTTATAAATATTCTATTAGCAAAATTTGCATAGTCAAGAAAACAGGAATTTCAATTAAATTATTTACATGGTAAACACAACTTCATAATGTAAATTACAAAATCGTTAAAATTGCAAAAATCTGTATGTTTCAAACAAACAAAGTTTTGTTAATCTTAATCAAGGCGGCCGCGTTGCCTGAGCGGTTAGCGTTGCGTACTGCCATTCAAAAGGGTTGGGTTCAAGTCCTGGTGTCGTACTAACAAAGTTAATTTAAATAAGAAATTTAGTTAAATTTTCTTACTGCGGTCGTCCCTCCGAGTGTATTTCTGCAAGCCCGCAAAACCACAAATTGGCGGAGTAGCTCGGCCAAAAAATCGCTTCAACGGTGACAAGCCGCCAATTATATATTATAAATAAAGGATATGTTTCATGTATTTCAAACTGGCGCATACTAATTTAAAGCGTACTTAGACCATTAGGCATATTTCTTCGATATAAATTTAAGAAGTCTGTATATTTATATAGATTACCGTTTGTTTCTTTGTTTGTTCTCTGGGACCTCAATCTACACCACAGATTTACGAAAAATATGTTAGTTTCGTTTTATGGTTTCCGGGAGGAAGAAAGTGGAGTGGAAGTGGACCACGGACTGACCTTATGATTGGATTTGCTTAAAGTTTGGTCAATATATAGCATTTTGTTTAGGTTAACACGAACAATACTTCTTCGGCCGGTAAGTGTACCAGGGGATGACCAAATCGAAATCATCATATTTAAAGTTTTTTTTTTAACTTTTAGGTAAAAAAGAATACTGATGAGGGACTAGAAACTAATTACGAATTGCTCAAAACACAAATAATACTTTCCTTAAGCGAAAGGTATCCCGAACACGCATTCATATTGACATTCACATGAAACAAACGACACACAATAATTTAGTAGAGACTTAATATTTTGTATTAGACGATGCTTACTAAGGACATTTTCTCATTTTTTGTTATACCATAAGCATAGAAATTGAACAAAAGATCGAAAACCATAACAGCAATTTGGCTGGTCGTTAGTCTTAACAAAAAAATAGAAGGTTCGTCATGTCGTATGAGCAACATTTCGTAAGCTGGAAAGAAGAAATCCAAAAACAGTTGAGCTGACGACTGCAACTGGCCAAACATTCATCGGATCGAAAATGTTCATAGATATAATGGAATAAAATTCTATTATCGAAGGGGTTTTGTTATCTGTGCCATGATCATTCGAAAAAATTTGATACGAAAGCAAAAATATCCTATACCCAAGTCCTGTATCAGCTAGTTGTTGTCGTTTGACTTGAACATGCCACAATCATACAACGGTACTCGCTGCATAGCAAAGATTCCATAGACTAAGCAAGAATTATTATTTCGTTTACAATTCTGAAAAGCAGTTCAATCAATTGAACTACATAAGTCACCACATTAAAGATGGAGATCGGATGAAAGTTGCATTAGCGACAATTATATATATACATATGTACAATATATGTATATGACGGCCGCGGTAGCCGAGTGGTTAGCATTGCAATTCACACACTACACTTGATTTAACATTTAATGAGATTTTCAGTAGGCTTATTTCCCAGTAGATAGCGCAGCTGGAATTCTTCGCCACCGTATATGAAAATCTAAACCGGAAAACCATCGGCCCTTGCCAATCGTACCAAGTATTATTTTTCACTTTTCAAAAGCCAATAGCTTGATTTGTAAGAAGCTGAAAATCCCAACTTCATATCCAGTTGCGGATGCGTGCTCTCTAAGTGAGAGTGCTAGTTGAATGGAAAATCGTTCGGGTATCGTTGTCATTGTAACCTTTCGACGTCGAGTCTTCCACGTGTTTGGGGAAGGCCGTTATTTGCTGCACAGAGGAGGGTACCAGGACAGCCCGATGAATTTTCTTATGCTAGATATGAAGAACTACAGAACACCATATTTCGGACCTTTTCGAAATCGACCAGCCGCAGCCCATTTTGGGATGTTTAATCGTGAAATGTGAATTTTTCGACTGCTATACCGAATCAAACGTCAAGATTCGCAAAGTAAGATCCTGGCGCTAAAGTCGCCAAGCATCATTTTGACATCATGGCGAGGCCAGGGCACAACAAATTTAAAATATGAATGTTTGACATTTCTATTATAGGAATTCTTTATAAAATGTAAGTGTTTTGGCATATGTATGTATATAAACAACTACTCAACTTCATATCGTAAAATATGTAACTCTAGACCTGGGAAATCTTCAATTACCCAGATATTCACCATACGCCAAATTCTGGAAAAGACACACACCTCCTTTACCTCGATTTTAAAGCCTCCTTCGATAAGATGAAAAGTTTCTGCTCCTATGTCATAAAACTGCAGAACTGTACAGTACAACGGCGTATGTAGGAGACTTATCTCACGGTAATTATTGAGTGATTCTAGGGTCACTCTTTTTGTGAATTGTACATAGTATATTAATGTTTCAATCGTGAAGCATGCTCTCTTGCAACCATACTCCATCATTAACCTAAACAACTTCTCCACCAGTGCTGCTTAATTGACAAAAAAAAAAACAAATCGGATGAGTCTAGTATAAGAACGTATACAATTAACGGTTTAAAATACCTTCCTTTTACGCCGAAGAATCACGGTGGACGAACCGCTTATTTTAAGTCAACCATGCAAAGTAAGGTTCAAGACATAATAAAGGCGCAAGCCAAATGCTCCACTATTTTTACAGACTCACGAAATTGATATTATGCTTATATCTGAAACTTATCTCACCCAGAAGTATAATTTGTATATCCCTGGTCTTAAGCTGTACAACATTAATCACCCAGATTGCAAAGCACATAACGGACAAGCTATACTCATAAAGAACCGTTTTAAGCACAGCTTTCCCAATTCTTCTTCAACAAAGTCACCTTCGATCATCCTTAAAAATAGGGGGGTTGATCTTACTTTATCTGTGATTTACTCTGTCCACCACGTTTCGTAATAACATGACCCTTTCATGACTCTAGGAGATAAGGTTTCTAGCTGGAGGTGATTACAATACAAAGCGTACTCATTGGGGATCGAGACTAATAAACCCGAAAGGTCGTCAGTTATACGAGGTATGACAATTAAGTAATGATACTGATTCCATTGAAACCGTATATTTCAAAATTATTTTACTACTCTGCCATCCCCTTTAAAGTAGTCCTCTTGGGCAGCTATGCAACGATGGCAGCGGGTTTTCCATACTTCGTAACATTTTTACAACGCTTCGACTGGGATGTCCGCGAGTACTCCCGTCACGGCCCGCCTGGATGTCCTCAATCGACTCAGAATGGGTTTCTTTGACCACCGAATTTGTTCTAGGGAACAAACAAAGCCACAGGGTGACATATCGGGCGAATAAGGCGGTAGCTCAACACGGCGATCCCTTTAGAGACCAAATACTGGGACACGCTGAGGGCAGTGTGGCGTGTTGAAGAATCCAGTTACGAGCGATGTCTGGGCGCACCCTCTTGGCGCATTTTCGCAATCTTTCGAGTACTTGGCGATAGTAGACTGTTAAACTGACCACACCTCGGCTGGTCTACCGCCCCGCGCCTCGTCTTCCACGCTTTCACGCCCCTCCTTAAACTCTTTATGCCATCGAAAAACCTGGGCACGACTAAGAGCACTATCACCATGCACTTTTACAATTTTAGCGCACATTTCACGCGTTGCTCTTGATTTCGTTTTTTCATCTTCGGGGTTCTCATCCGTTTCCTCAACACGACACAGCAGGCAAACTAAACAAGCTAAAACGATCGCAAATATATCAATAGAGAGGAGAATGATGCCGGGAGAAGGGAAAAGGAAAAGGAAAAGGGCGCAGGGTTACCACAATCGCGGCAATGTAATCAGTCTCATTACTTAACTGTCGCACCTCGTATAGAACGACCATAAGCACAACCAACTTACAATTTACAACTTACTTACAGGCTCAAGGAAATTACCAGACCTGATTGACTTTTCTGTCACTTAACACGTAGAGAGCAGTTTAGTATTTGCTGAAACCTGATCTTCTGATCATTCCTCAATAATCATTAAATTGAACGAACAAACAATAGAAAGTGAGAATGCTTTTGATGTTAAAAACGAGTTATTTGGTATACTACCAACAGCATCAACTACAGCCTCACCAGAGCAAAAAAACAAAAGCAAAAACATTGATAACTAATAGCGGAATAGAATCACGGGTCCGAAATAAATTTGCGTCACAAATGGCAAGCTTGCCGATCTCCCGCTACTAAAACTCATTGTAAGATTGCAGAATACAAGCTAAGAAAGGCATTAAGATACGAAGAAGAAAGAAATATTAAAAATCGTATAATGTTTCTACAAAAAAATTTCTATAGAAAGTTAGCAAAAAGCTTAAGCACTGAAGTACCGTTGCGACTGCATAATGGTTCATGGGCCAGAACGGATGAAGAAAAGGGTTCTTGTTTTGCAGAGCTCCTCAGTATAGTACTCCAATCAAATACTGTTACAAATAGTGTTCCTTTGTCATCGAACCATACTGCCCCTAGATACTCTGTACTTGTGGAGAATCTGTGTCTGAACTAAAAAAACATTATTACCGCCTTAAATCCAAAAAAATCTTTAGAAGACGATCATATCTCACTAAAAATGCTAAAAGAATTGCCAAACTTTGCTCTCGTTTTTCTTGCAAAGCTTTTCATTGTCATTTTTATGTTAGAATATTATCCACAAATATGGAAAACTCGCCGATAATAATGGTAGCTAAACAGGTAAAGACGCAACCCTGTCATTATCATATAGACCAATCAGCCTGTTGCCTTGCCTACCCAAACTTTTCAAAAAGTGCTGCTATCAAAGATTACTCCTTTTTTTCAATTTGGTTTTTATGAAAAATCAAAATACAATTGAACAAGTAAATCGTATAACAAATGAAATAAGGAAAGCTTTCAAATTGAGAGAGTATTTCTCAGCCGTTTTTCTTGATGTGGCGCAAGCATTTGATGCCCTCATTCACAAAATTAAAAAATCATTACCTAACGAATTCCGCAATATCCGTGAATCGTACTTATCCATAAAGCAATTCACAGTAAAAATAAATGAGTACATAACAGAAGAGTGTCCAATCACAGCAGTTGTTCGGCAGGTTAGTGTTCTTGGATCAATATTGCACATAATGTTTTCCACTTCCCGGAGAAAAAGACACCTACGAGGTGTTTCTGATCCCACCTAAATTTTTTTAAAAGGTATTTATTTATTCATCAATTAATATCTTATCCCCTTCAAAGTATTTTCCCTCACTTGTGCCAGCATTTTTTCCAATCTTCGAAACAATTCTGAAACGCGTATTTTGGTATCGCCAATAGCTCCTGCTTCGATTTTTCTCATACGAGTATCTCCTCAGTCGTAGCAAAACGCTTTCCTTCATCGGTGTTTTTAGTTTTGGGAAGAGGAAAAAGTCAGCGAGAGCCAATTCCGGTGAATACGGTGGTTGAGGCATGATAACGGTTTTGTTTTTGGCCAAAAACTCACACACAAGCATCGATATGTGCGCTGGTGCGTTATCGCGGTGCAAAATCCAAGATCGTTTTTTCCACAATTCTGTGCGTTTCTGACGAATTGCTTCACGCAAACGGTACGTAACTTCTAGTATTCCTTATTGACCGTACGATCTTCCAGTCGAAGAAAACAGTGAGCAAACATTTAACCGATCCCGATGTTCTCGGGCGACCAGAACGAGCATTGTCATTGACATCTTCTCGGCCTTCCTCTCACCGGTTATACCACAATTGAACTTTTGTTCTGCTCATAGTAAACTCTCCAAACGTCACTGGAAACATTTCAAATGTCCTTGCACATTTAATTTCATTTTCTACACAAGATCCAATACAATTTCTTTGATTCATTTTTTCGAATAGTAAACAATCGAAGAGGACACCAAAGTACGGCTAACTTTTTTATTTTTCAAAAACAAACTGACAATCAAAAATGGGTGATATTGTCAACATACGTATAACAGACTAACTCTGTTAACAGAAAAAAAGCGAAAATCCAACATACGTAACTCACGAAATTTGAAAATATGGATATTTTCTGATCGCCCCTCGTCTGTTCCGAGTTTAAGTTTATCGAACATAAATAAGATTTTTTGGATATATTGTCAGATATTATGTCAGAAATATTCTCGAAAAGTATAATCCAAAATGTTAAATGCTGATCTCATCAGGACTCGAACCCATGATCCCAACCTACGATAGTACACTCTGTTAATGCGAAATCTAATATATATGTTTAGAAAGATATATGTATGCCTTTATTCGTTGTCCGTTTCCACCTCTGTGGTACTATATTTACTGAAACATTAATTGAGAAATTTGCTATAAATGACTGTTGCTATTATCATCGCATCCCTGTAGTTTGACTAACCCAGTTAACCACTGAGGAGGGAGTACTGGTCACAACTTAATAAACATCCTTTCGCTTTCCTAACGAATTTATCATGGGGATGTCATTGCCACATACCGAGAGGTACGACGTAGAATTATGGTGCCCTATCGGTTTGACTGGTGCAAAGTGGTTGATTATTTCGTTAGGACCTCCGAGTTAGCGCAATCGTTATTTATTAAAGTATATATACTCGTATATTTATATTTTATATTTATTATTTATATTATTAATTTATTTGAAAATTAAACTGAAGGGAAAACAATTAGCATCCTTGCTTACTTCTTAGCGATTTACCTATCAATCCTTACTCTGCGGTGGTTGCTTGGTACCTTCAGAACCACTGGGATCTTATACCACCACCGCCATAGAGAACCATAAGTTTTGACATCGTTCAATCGCCGAATTCCTGAAACGGGCATATGATCTTTTGCCATTTTGAACCTGAAACTTTATTCTATCTAATGAGTGCATGAATACCATTGAAAAACATACATATGTTGATCTTATTTCGTTCTGTTTTATTAATTCCCCTTATGGGCATGTTAACACCCACTAAGTGCTCTTTGTTACAAGGCTACAAGGAAATGTGAGCCAGTTATGCAAGCTATTTGCGCATAATTTCAGCTTAACTTCAATATCCATAAAAGTAACATATTCCATTACTACGACATAAAACGAGTAGGATATTACTTTCACTCTTCTGAATAATATTTAATGCTACAACACCTCCTAAAAGAGCGTATAAATAGCCTTCTGCTAGCATTTTAGTGCCGCTGACCCAATTCAAGCTAACGTAGCTCCGGGCTTCTGTACTTTGGTATACTCCCATGTCTCAAAAATTTAATAAAAAAATACGAGTAATTTTTTAAAGCTAAATTCGGTCATGAAGAGAGTAATGATTTGTCTCTTTTTATATAAATGCAACAAAATAAAATATTCCATAATTAGAGTCATTTAAAATTGTAATAATGTTGCAGCTCCTTGCAAAAAGTGCAAAGTTACGGTCTTCTTTAAATCTTAGTGGCAAATATTGAGTTCAAAGCCGTGAAATTTCTCTAGCAACAAGGATTGTCAAAAGAGAAGAAACGTCAATATGACAATTGAGCAACTATGTAAATATCTTCTGAATATTAAAATTCGGTCACTTCACTCGCAAAGCTGAAGTTTTCTAAATCGCACAGACTTTTCTGACTTGTTTGCATAATTGCGCTGAGTTCGCTTATTATGCGTTTCTGTTGCTGCGGTGTTTCCACTGCCTATTTCAACTACAAAGGGACTTTCTTAACTGTCGCCAGAACTTTTTCCCACTTCAACGAACAGAAACCAATATTCAATCTTTTGGTCAGAGCTTTTGTATTTTCAGTCATTGTTGAAAAAAGAAGTTTTAAATTTATTATTTTATATGAACTTACTTTTTCTTACTTAAAGTCTTTTGGTTTGGTGACCAATAATGGAATAGAAATACGTGGTGGAGTGTATCGAAAATAAGTGTTTGTGGCACTCTTAGGGTAACACCGTCTCAACCATTAAATTTACTGCCCATAGACTTATACAGCAAGCAACGGGCTGCAAAACGACACCCAGACTAAGAGAATCTAGTTACATTCTACATACTTAGCAAATTCAATCCAATTCTTGGACCAGTACCTACTGTTCACCGCAGATATTCCTACAAGTGGCGGAGTAATTACGTCACCATTTGCGGATGATACTGCCATAATAAGCGGACATAAATGCCCCTTTACAACCGCAAAAGGGCTAGCGAAATGGCTTAAAAAAGTTAATGAAAACAAGTGCAAGTACATCACTTTTACATCAGGGCAAAAAGCGTGCCCAACTGCTAAGCTCAGCAATGTGTCGATCCGCCAGCTAACGAAATTACTTACCTCGGAATCCACTTGGACAGTTGCTTAACCAGGAGACGATTCATTCAAATCTGCCAGTTTACATTGACCTTTAAACAAGAAATCTAGACTTAGCCTTAGCAACAAAGTCCACTTATATAACGCAACAATAAAATCGATATGGATATGGAGCACAGCACGCACGACGAATATAGATGCAGTTCAAAGGTTCCAATCGAAAACGTTAAGAGTTAATGAAAATATCCACAGAGATCTAAATATATCTATCATCAAGGAAGAGTTTGCAGTTGCAGCACAAGAATACTTAATAAAACTGCGTAACCATCCCAACCCTTTGGCTAACACCTCGGCACATGCAACAAGTCAAACCTGTCTGCGGAGAAAAGACAAAGCAGCCTTCTAAAGGCTTCCGATGTCCAAGCCGATTCAATAAATAAATATTAATGTTAAACAAGAAGAGATTCGATAAGATGGAACCAGGAATTTTCGACAAAAAGGTTTTGCGGAAGCTTCGTGATCCTTTACGTATTTGTTACGACAATTACTGCAGGCTGTGAATGGATAAGCTGTAGAAGATATTGCCATAGCTCAGCAAATAAAGAGACATAGGCTAGTTCATGTCATCGGATGCAGTCTTTACTGGAACTTCGTTGAAAAGATCAGGTGAAAAAGGACCTGAGCTCGCTTGGTGTCATAAATTGGCTGCGAAGGAAAGAAACGACTGGCACTCAGTAAACGGTGCCTACGTCAATTAAGTGAGTTTATTTCACCTTTATTCAAGTTAGGCACGTCTATTAATAAAAATATGATTTCCTGCTTTAAGTTAATCCAAGAACACTGCTCGAGCGGAAAATCGTGTTCTGAGCTGAAATTTCTGTTTGCAGACTGATTAAATAAAAGTGGAAGTGCGAATGTAAGTATTTTTTTTAAACACAACTTAGTGTAATATCCAACTCAAAAACAAGCCATCTACTTTGTTTCTATAGATAATAACACTTCTTCCCCTTCTTTATTGTAATTTTGGGTGATATTTGAATATTCACTGGGACATAATTCCCTACTTTTCCCAATGGGTATGCCAGAAGAGAAACACTGAATGTAATCGTCATGAAATAGTTTTTCTTTTAGAACTTTTTAACAATCTTCTGGCATTTTCCATACTATTCACTTCCGGTTGCACACATATATTTAAGTAACTGTTTTATTTTCAATTTGTGTTAAACAAAAGTTTACAACACGAACACATTTTGGCAAGTTCAATGTCACTGCAGCACAAAATATGATCGCCTATTTCATCCTTTCACACGTCTCAATTTGCCTTAATCACTTTCTCATATACGAGTATGTATGTATGAATGCATGTAGGTACGTACTAGATTTTGCAAACTATCCGACTTTAACAAGTTTACCGCATTTACACACGCGATATAATTTAAACGCCTGTTACGAGTATACGTTCAACTTGATGCTTCGCGCTGAGCCGTATCTGTTACAACAAACATCGATATACAACAATATGTAATGTGCAGTGATAGCTGCAACGTTAGCAGGCTGGGTATTTGGATGAAAGTGAAACTGAGGTCGTCTTTCGTACGGATTTTATACTCTTAGACAAGTAGTTATGTAACGGCGGTGCGTGGTTTGATTACTATGCACTTGCGCTCGTATTTAGTAAACCGTTCAAAATTGAAACGCTCACAGACGAGTGGTTGCACCAATTATGTACAACGCAGTTTCAATGGTATTCCTTGGACTGGCGTTCACTAAGTTCGGCGACTATGCGCCTTCATGTTTTTAAAAGGAAGTACAAATCATGTCTAAGTTTGAAATTACAATAAAATTAATATAAATATATGCACATGCGTCTCACTTTAATGGGATTTCAGAAATATATACATATACATATGTACATACGTATATGATACACACTAACTTTGTATGGGTGAAAGACAATAAAAAATCGGAGATTTTCAATTAATTATATAAAGTGATAGCCCTTTATGTGTATATATTTACATATTAATTAAAAATAGTTTGTGAAAAAAAAAATATTTATTTCGAGGAAATTGATGATTTTTTAGAAACATTTGTATTTATCTACAAAAAGTTATCAAATCTTAAAAACGAAATTAAAATTTGTAATCCCTTAGCTAGCAATGGTGTGAAGCTGTTTACAAGGGTAGTAATTCCCTTCTCTTCAGGCACGTTTAAGGGGGGACCTGGTTTAGAGGGTCAAAAAAAATCGATTTTTTTAAACTTATCACATTCGATTAGACATATTTATATTCAGAAATATATTGTAATATTTCCACAAAATTTCAGAGTCGAATTCCTAATCGTTCCACAGAAATGGCCTCTGAGAGACGATGCGCTCAGGAGACTGATAGGCGAGCGTTAGAACTTTGAACGCGATTTTCTCAAAACAGTGTAATTGTCGCATTTTCATAAGTGATACCTTTTTTACAACTTACGGTGTAGGCTTCTGTGTGAACCTAAGAAATCAAAATAAAAAATTCTTTTATTAACTTTTTTCAATAAATTATTTTAAAATTTCTACAGAAAAACGCAAAATTTTTTATAAACAGTCATAAAATAAATAATTTCATACATTTCTTCGAATTTCTCAGGTTCACATAGAAGATCAACTCCTAAGCTACAAAAAAAGTATTCGTTTTTACGTTTCAGATGAAAATCGACTCCTCGAGCGAGAAGTGCCACAAACAAATACGAATTGTTATTGCTTAACAGTATTAAATAAAGTGAAAGTAAATTTTGTTGGCAAGATTTGTGTATCTATGCCCCATTTCACAAGTACTTGAAACATTTCATACGTAAAGCAACCTAAAACACTGTGCCGATTATCATCATGATACAATTTTCAACGTTCTGAACCAGATTCCCCCCTTAACTTGTTGCGAAGGCCAAGGTGATAGCCACGGTGTTTGGATGATTGAACAGTTTTAATACGTACTTTCCTGTTACGATTTCTACTTTAAATGGATCTCTCTGGATATTTTCATTGTGTGTGTACTAAGGTGCTCCGTTATTATTCTCACAGGCCTATTCTCGCTGTTACCGGTAAAGTAAAGTTTGTTACATTTTTTTAACACCCAAAATTGAATTTGGTATTCAGGCGAACTGGTTACAATGTTTAAAAAGACTTTGGCCTTCCATGTCAAATCACATTTGCCAGTTGGTAAAGTAAAAAGAAGAATATTCATTTATATTTATGCATTACAGTTGTTGTGGTCGTAGCACACATGGGATCAGTTCTTGAAAACAAGAAATATTGTACTGCAGTGTTCCTCGCCCGTTCAGGCATTTGATAACATTTGATTAGATGGTCTATTATGCAAGCTGAAAGGTACGCTTCCCTTAAAAATTGATGGTGGCTTAGAAAGCTTTTTTATTGGCAGAAACTTTCATGTTAGGCAAAAAATTACACCGCTGAATCCTATGAGTTTTAGGGCCCGTCCTATATTTAATTTATACAAACGATCTTCCCACAAACCGAAACCTCATCACATCAACTTTTGCGGATGATACAGCAATACTTAGTGTCCATTCAAACCTCATGACAGCCAGTTACAGATTACAAGAACATTTAAAAGTATTAGAAGAGTGGCTAACAACTTGGAGAATTAAAGTCAATGAGTCTAAGTGTATACAAATAACATTTACCCTAAAAAAAAGACACATGTCTTTCAATCTCTATAAATGGGAATAAAATACCTCAGAAAGAATTCGTTACCTACCCGGCATTTACATTGGGTAAAAGAGTAACCTGCAAAAACCACATAGACAAAAAGATTACTCAAACCAAATTGAAAATTGCGAACTTGCATTGGATTGTAGGCTCTAAGTCCAAACTAAGTCAAAAAACAAAGTTGTACTTTTTAATATACTTATAAAGCCATCTTGGACGGGATAAAAATGTAGGCATCTAAATCTAGCCTAAAAATATTTCAAGGACTGCAGTCTTAAGATCAATATGAAAAGCCCTTTGGTATGTAAAAAAAACTCCAAAATTCACAATGATCTCGGGATTAGAACCGTCAGCGAGCAAATGGAGAAACTGCTAAATAAATACTCACTAAGGTTATCTAACCACCCAAAGTTTCTAGCAAAAAATTTATTACTGCAGAACTACCCTAAGCGATTAAAGAGAGAGGATTTATGTTTGAACTGTGACTAAGGGCTCTGCCGCATCCAATTAATCCACAGCGGAGTTGAATGAGTGTTTGGTATCCCTAATGACATTCTTTGATAAATCTCAGTTGTATTCGTAATTCATTGTATTGTACTTTGCTTACTTTGTTAACCTATACATTGGTAATGATTAACTTGTTCCAGGAATAAGTCTTAGCTTTAAGATTTTTGAAATTATTGTTAGTTTCCAAAAAGGAATGGTACAATAAAACATTAACAAAAAAATTTTTTGGCTGGGAAATTGAAATATAGTACAGGTATTCGAAAAAGGAAGATTAGCTTCTTGCAGTTAGACAATCGCTTCCAACGAATCCTTGATACATCTCGTGAGAAAAGAAATATATTGTTGAGAGAAATCTCAAATAAAAAGTTTTGATTTAAAAATTACAAATGAAAATGAACATCTACACCCTTGTCATATAGTGCCAATTCGTTTATAAGCTCTAAACAAATTGTTTTGTTTAGGCGAAAGGACTGAATGTTAAATTAAAATTGTAATTTTTTTTCATGCAAACTGAGCCTCCTTTTTAATTAATTCTAGACGTAAAATATGTCTATACAATTTGATTATTTATTTATTCACAAATTAACAACTAATTACTATTACCTCCTATCTCGCTGGTAACAAAATTTAGAGGGTGACAGTGAACTCGGAATACGAAGTAGTAACAAATTTTACTCAATGGTAAATTTTAATACCAAAGTAAAATTTGTTACCTCGACAGAATAGGCAGTTAACGTTTCGATTGAAATCTCCTTTTTGTATCTAATTTCGTAGCGCGGGCTGTGCCCTACCACTGAATTCCAAACATCAATATCGTTTTTATATTCCTCTTATAAAAAAGGACTTTGTTTTGAAGGCTGAGCCCAGACTTATTGTTTAAGAGCCAATATAAACTGGGAAATTTAAGCTCCAGCTGTATCTTTTTGGCGAAAATGTGTCAGTGTTGATGCGTTTTTATGGAAAGCTTTTTATTTCATGCCTGAAATACACTAGAAGGGCTGGTCACACTCTACCGAGAGACAAGCGCAATTAGAAAAATTCATTATCTTTAATTTTGGATGTTTGGTCGATTCTGTGCTCGAATCTTGGCCTTCCTGGATACCGCTTTTAGTACGCTATGCCAGTCATTAGACTAGTGCGGTCGAACGGCTCGGAGAAGTCCCTTTATGCTTCTTATGTTGCTTAACATCAGTTTACACAAAGATAGCGGCGTAGAGGTAATTTCTTTCGGACCGTCGAAGGCAGCTTTCAAATCGACGAGGATGGTGAGCGTCGATTTTCGCTTCAGGAGGTTTTTCCAAGATTCGGTGTATGGTAAATATCCGGTCAATGGTGTATTTACACGATATAAAGCCTAGTCACTTTTTTGGCAGTGGGCTTTAGTCTTTCACGCAATATTCTCGTTTGCACCGTATATACTATATTGAGGAAGCTTCTCCTTTTTGTGGATTGGGCAGAGCGCACTCAAATTCTAGTTTGCTAATATGTTGATGTATGCACCCTTCGCCGCCACCTTTGTTGTATTTCAAGCAGTCAAACGCTACCCGATCTTCTTCATAGTCGGACAATGAAACATCTCTTCCGTCGTCATCGTTTGGGAAATCAGGTTCTCCATCTCCTGGTGCTCCATTTTCACTGTGATTCAGCAGGCTGCAGAAATAGTTCTCTTCACAAGATCAGCATTCTCTGCACATCAGTCACTGATCATATCTCTAGGTTCTAATAGAGTATGCACTGGCATTACCTCTTGTATGTTACTGAATTTTTTCGTTGAACCTTAGAGCAAGATCCTTTTCGATCAACTTTTTCCACCCTTCTTTTTGCCTGCACATACGACTTGTTTCCCTTTTCAATTATGTTCTAACGATGCTTGGTGGGAGGCACGGTAAATCGTACCAGAGGTTTTTCGTTCAATATTTCCGAAAACTTTCAATTGCAGCTGGTCGTAGGAAACTGGAAATAGTTCCCGTACACCAATTTGCTGATGAGTGTTCTCGGCGAGCAGAGAGAGCAAGTCGAGCAGAAAACCATTCGGCTGTACATTGCGATTGCAGCTTTTCTGCCTCGACCTTCCTTACTTGTATTGACGGACGTTCTTTGTTGCATAGAGGCGGATATGTCTTCTTGCAACTACAAGATAGTGATCCGAGTCGATATTGTGGTCAGGAGTGTACACATGTCAAGAACACCTTGTCATCCATTTATCACAACATGATTGATGTTGTTTTTTGTTTTCCGATAAGGGGACAGCACCTACTAGTCTCCGTCGTTATCCCGCCCAAGGAATTCAGGGACGGCGGTGATGTCAGCCTTTATTCCTCCGTGGACATCAACCAGCTGTGCATCCCAATTCCATCCCAATTAAGGGGCCGAACATCCCATGTGCATGTCCTACCGCGACTGTAGATACAAGCTTGGCTACGCCACAGTGTGTAACTAGTTTGAATAAAAATAGGGTCATACATAAAATTTATCAATAAGTTTCCAAAATCTAGAAATTTTATTAATTATTTTAACTTAATACGAGTAAAATTGGTCACCAAATTCATAAAAATATATTGAGTTATTGGTTTTAAAACCTTATCACCATTGAGTTTTCACACGATTATGGCTGATTCAATCAAGTTGCTTATCAGCTTCTTAACAACGGCCTTGTTCCACTACATTGACTGATTAGAGTGATTCTCATTCCGTAGCACTACATGTAAGTATATGCATATACCTCTTCCATTCAATTGCAAACCAAAGTTGAATGGGACCAAGAAGAAACAAAAACAATTTAAGTTTATTTTCTATAAAATTATTCGAAAAGCTTAAACGCCGATATACGAGCACATAAATATTTTGAAAATGAACTGATTTGCGTTGAAATTAGGACTTAGATTTTTTGATTTAATACTTTTCTTTCTAGGACGTGATTCAAGTTCGTTCTTCTCTTAGTTCGAGCCCTGCAAGGCATTAGACAGCTAACGCTTACCGGCAAATGTTATAGTAGCAACCCTTAAAGATGAAACAACCGTTATTATATTTTTAACTACTGATTTCCAAAAATCTAGAGCAACAGTCTACAATAGTTTTGATAAATTACTACAAGACGCCTCATTGATTATGTGAGATGAGTGCAGCTTGAGCCATGAAGCGAGGTCGTGGGCAGAATCTCAAAGCCCCTGCATTAGTGAGCGGGTTATTTTTGGAATCACTTGAAATTTTAGGCTGATTACTATTCTTATTTGATATATCATTCGGCGTCAAATGAAGCTAGATCCTTCTCCAGTTGACCTTTCCAACGGAGTGATGGTCTCCCTCTGTTTTCACCAGTCCAATACTTTAAAAGCTGGACTTTTTAATTTATCTGAACAATATGACCTAGTCAGAGTAGACGCTGTTGCTAATACCAAAATCAGTTCATTATCAATATGAATCATAAAATTACCTGAACAATCCGAACGTGTAAAGGGCGGTTTTTGAGCTATTATCTTTTTGGCAACACTGGTTTAAACAGCTGACGCACGTTTCTTATTTTATATTACTGTCAAGCATCTTCAAGCGTGCTCTGTCAAGAAATTTCATCGCAGGCTTCGAAGTACATTTTTGGTTTAGTGGGTGCCTAAATAAGCAGAATTTTCGATTTTGGAGTGAAGATCAGCCATGAAGCATATGAAAGAGCTATCAATGCTTCCAGAAAAAGTCACAGTGTGGTGCGGTAATGATGAGCGCTACCGTGAGATGATGTAAAACTTTTCTTTGCCGAAAATGCAAGAGCTTGACTTGCATGACCTGTGGTTTCAACAAGACGGTGCCACATGCCGCACAGCACGCGCACAATGGACTTATTGAGAGGCGAGTTCGGTGAACATTTTATTTCACGTTCGTGACCGGTCAATTGGCCGCCTAGATCGTGCGATTTAATGCTTTTAGACTATATTTTGTGGGGCTATGTTAAATCTTATGTTTCTACAGCCAAGCCCGCTTCAATTGACGCATTGGAGGACGAAATGTTGGAAAGAGTATGTCAAAACTGGACTAAGCGGATGGGCCATTTGAGGCGCAGTTACGGTCAAGATTTGAATGAAATAATCATTCAAACATTAAATTATGTGGACCGTGCAATCGATTCAAATATCGATTCAAATTCATGTATTTTTCTGAATTTTATATGTTTTTGTTGAAAAAATTTTCCTATAGCTCTTAAAAAAAGTGGCACTTTGCTTCAAACGACAATGGTATTGGATCAAGCAGTTTGTCAGCATCTAAAAAGCTCTGGTAAGAACCTCTTTCGCCTTAGCTATTAGCAGGTGGAAAGCCCAAACCTTCAAATTAAAACCAATTAAAAACAATAAAATCATAAAAATACCATCCAAATATTTTTAAATAAACCAAACCAGTTTTGCAAATTTATTCGGAACTTGAGTTTCTACTCATTGACTCAGAAAAAAAATGTCGAAATCAAAGTTCACTAAAGATTTCGCGTCACGTCTTTTTTTAGTTTTTTCAGAAACTAAGTAAGCTGTGTGCGACATTTCTGATTAGAAATTTAGCAGTAGCAAGAAAATAGCTACTGAATCATGGCGATCGCTTTTGTTCTTTTCAAAAATGAAGTATTTCTTTTGAGAGGTGGGAGTGGTGTTAGTCCGATTTCGTCTAACAAATAAGAAAACCATTCGAATATATGCTCATTTCAAATTCTCCTAGCGCTTACTGTTTATTTTGTGCTATTCGTTCTGATAATGCCGAGCTGATAAATCGCACAGCTTCGAAGAATAATCAGTAGCTATTAAAATTTCGAATGAGACGTTTGTGCACGCCTATCTCAAAAAAAATAAACATGAAATATTTGAAAATTATTTGTTTGCTGTTGTTATGTGTGTGCATTTCAGCTATCGACAGTATGCCAAGGAGCAACGGCGACAATGACATAGACGACGATGAATTGACCGTCAAAATGACGCCTAAATCAATGGGAATCGCTTCCGTCAAGTCTCGTGCTATTGCCATGGACCGCGCTCTTTGCAGGGAACTATCACGCTATCATCCGCATTATCCGCGATGTTTTGAGTATTGCAAAAAGTTAAACCACTGGATGGGAATGTGCCGACGTGAAAGTTGTCATTGTTATTCCTAAAATGAACAAAATATTTATATGTAACTGACATATATAAATAACAATAAAATACCATTAACTGTAGCTCTGGCTGGCTTTCCAATAAAAAATACCTCTATGTATTCGCAATACTTTTATATTGGAGTGTTCTTCTAAATATAACATAAAATGCGTCTTGGCTTTTCAAAATTACTGTGGTTTTATTGTGCCATATTCGTGGTTTATTTTACTAATCTTTCAGTGCTGCTTGTTATATTTTCAGCGCCCTACTCAGAGCAGTTCAATAGAGGGAGGAATCTTTCGTGTACGTCTCTTTGTTTTTACTTATAACGACTGTAAGGTGAAGTAAAATCTTACGAGCCGAAAAAATAACGTTATATAATTACATATATTTTATTATTAATTTATTTCCGAATTTTGTTTTTCAAATGAATACGTTCGTAGAAGCTAAATTGTTCAAATGTTTATTTATGCTGAAGTCCTCGTACGTCTTCTTCTTCTTTATTGGCGTTGGCACCGCTTACGCGATGATAACCGAATCAACCGAAACTGTGCTCTCTTAAGAAAAAAAGACGTTTACTAGCCTTTTCGATTTTCCGAAAGAACCCTTACTTATAGTCCTGACTGTATTTACTTTGTGCTCATGTAGCAGTTTTTAACGAATTTTAAAAGTTTCGTTCATAGAATTTAGGAGTAAACCCTATTCTCTTTCCACATTTCAAAGTTGCTTGGTTTTTTTATAATTTTTAAATAATCATTATTAAATATCTTCATCTTTTGTGTGTAAGAAAGCTTATATACAATGAAAAATATTGATTAAATTTTATATTTATTTATTTGCGAAGAAAGAAGCGCTTGTATTCTTTATTGGCGAATTTTTATTTACCTACTATCAGTTGAAAACCAAGGTGAAAATATCTTATTAGAAACATTTTAATGAAGATGAATGCATGATACATAGAGATCTGCTTGAGTGCAAACTCTGAAAATTAAAGTAGTAATTCTTACCACGGTTATCATCCCTCCTCTTTATTTTGTGTTTAAGAAAAAAAAGTCGATAAAAAAGCTGTGTATTTTCCCCACAAATATTTTGTAATTTGTGACCGAAGTAGTACGAAAATATTTCTAATTGCAGGGACTGCCAAGCTTTCCGAGTGTATTTCTGACATAAAAAGCTCCTCATAAAAATCCATTGACCCTTTGGAGTCGGCTCTGTAGGACCCTCCATTTGTTGTTAAAACATCGAGACGTATACCACAAATTCGAGAAGGAGCAAATTGGTCGAAAATCGCTTCAGCTATCACAAAGCACCAACTAAAAAAATGAAAAATAATTTACATTTATATGAAAAAAATTGTTTTGCTTGTATTATGGTTTCAAGGTTTATGAGATAAAAGACCTTTAACGTCATCGCACCAACTGCGTCGTATTTACAGCTGACGAGCATCGGCAAATGTATATGAAAAAAGTTATTTTCTATTTAAAAAATATATGTTTGTTTTGAAAAGAGCGAAATTTATTTCCTTCTCATTTCTGATAAACTAACATGTCCAAGGCTTAGAATCGAATTAAGAATTATGCAAAAATCTAACTTTATTACCGCCAATTCTGTTATTATCATTATTAAAGTTGCTGAATGTGGAAATGTTCACTAAAAACGAATGTTAATTTTTATATTGTAGTTTAAATATATTTTTTTTAATTTTTAATTAGTTTTATCTTATCGACACCTAACCTAATTCTTGATTAATTTGTTGCACGAATTTGGTTCACGATCTGATGTCGATGAATTTCAAATCTTTTCTTCCTTAAAGGACGGATTGTTATAGACAACACGTTAAACTGTTTATTGAATAAAACTATTTAAATTTATTTTAAAATCTTTGGTAACTTCGCTTTAAATGTAGGATTTTAATGTTGGTGTGATCCCCAACTCCAATAGTGCTGAATATTTGCTGTTAAATCAACAGGAGCTTCAGAACGACAAGTTCGTTATATGGTTTTTTTGGGAAAGACAACAAAAGCTGGTACTGATATTCCCTGAATCAACATACCCAATTTGTTGCTGTCACCTTACTTCTTACCGAATTAAACTTGCCCAGACATCCGAAAAATCTGATGGGCTAACATGACTTAAGCAATTCGTCTTGTCCATCTGCCCATTATTTCATGATGTTACAACAACTGCTGTCCAAGTAAAACCAATTTGCCCTGTAAGCCGCACTGTGGTTGTAAAAATAATTCCAAAGCAAACTGATTCACTTAATATATTTATGTTCATCGATATGTGGCGAATTTACCACAAATTTGATTATTTCAAAAGAAATTGAAAACCTTTTACACTATTGAAAGGCGCTGAAATTAGATGCGATTAAAGTATTTAAAGTAAAACAATAACAATTAAGGTGCATATCAGACGGAGTAATCAACGTATAAGGAGTTAGTTATAGAGTTGATATACGTTCAGTTTTAACTGGTCTTTAACAGGCCTGTTACCGGTAAAGTAAATTTTGTTACTTTTCTTTAACACCCGAAATTCAATTTGGTATTCTGGCGAACTGGTTACAATGTTTGAAAAAACTTTGGCCTTCCATGTCAAATCACATTTGCTAAAGTAAAAAGAAAAAATATTCACATCGAAATGGACGACGGTGCACAAAAAAATTGAAAAAGTTTTATTAATTTGTTTATTAAATCATAAATATTTGAACCTAATTATGGAAAATATGAATGGACAACAAAAAAAGCTGAATGAAAACGTAATCTTACAAATTAAAGGGCTATTTTTAAGTCTCGAAAACTTCTTAAAATACGGCTTTTTGCACTTTTTTCCTCATCTTCATTGAATTCCAGGCCTAAAATATGCCTACCCATTTTGGTTTTTATTTTTTCTCAACATCAGATATCTTTGTTACCTCCTATTTCGCTGGTAACAAAATTTACAGGGTAACAATGAACTCAGAATACGAAATAGTAACAAAATTTACTGAATGGTAAATTTTAATACCTAGGGAAATTTTGTTACCTCGACAGAATAGGTCTTTAAATAACTGGTTTGTAACATACAGCTGTTCCATGGCTTAACACGCAGACCGTGTTTCATTTTCTAAGTAATTAAAGCAGGAAAATCCGAAAAGGCGACTGTATCTAGAATAAGAAAAAGACTTGTATTCAGTCATGCCGTAGTCTTTGTACCTTTCATGACCACATCATATTATTGGTATTTCATTTTAGTATTAAATATGAATGCTCATATCTGAAAAATTGGTTGTATGGGGATTACATGATATAGTCCTGCGATTTCAACAATTTTCGGTGACAGTGTTTATTTGTTTTTACATGTGTAGAATGAAAGATTTCCTGCTCCTCAATGGGCTCTCAACTCGTTTTTAATCCCACTTTTGATCTCATATCTCAACGAATCGATTGCATGGGGACTATTTCATTTAGTCCCACGATATGTTATTAATCAAATGTGTGCAGAGCACCAAATTGTTGCCTCTTAGATGCTTGGGCAAAATTATGTTCCCAAATCTGAAACATTGGTCGGATATATGCTACAGTGGTTCGATCCGACAAATAATCGTTTAAATGTACCTGTGCATGTGTATACAAAGTTTGGTTGAAATATCTCAAAATCGGGGGTCTAGTTTGCATGCAGACAAACGGAACGGCTAAACCATCCCCAATTCGTCTTTCTGACACTATCAGTATAAATTTTTAATAAAAAAAATATTCCCCAAAGTACTTTTTGGGGAATTGTTGCGGTACTGACAGTCCTTGGCCGAAAAAAAATCCGGATTGTTCTGATATAAAGACCCGACTGTCGGATTTTAGTGGCTCCTTACGACAGGCATGCCTTACCGCAGGGGGGAAATTTTTATTCTTCACGAGTGTTGATGTCCCAACCGATAAGCCGTCGTACCCACAGAAACTACAGCAACGACCTACCGGAGTATTTAACTTGCATTTGCTGCGAAATTTGCTCAGTGGAGAGCTCATTAAAAGGTTTTAGACTCTATTTAAATTAGTTAGCGGCCACAAACTCCGAATTGCTTTGCTTTCCTCATAGTCTGCATAACCCAATATAATTTGGCAGTTGGATTTTCAGTTCATAATAACTTATCCTATATATTTTATCTAGGGAACCCTTCCGAAGGTGTCAATGACTGAAAAAAGTCAGCTTGCAAACAGTGCCACTTGAGAAGACTTGTTACCTTTTGGTGACCACTGGTTTAGTTTCAGTGCACGCAGCATTCGTTTTTGAGTTACATTATCGCTTGGACACACAATCAGTGCAGTTCATCTGAGTTCAGGCAAACTTGTCTCAGTTTGTGTAAATATTTCATTAAATTTGTTGATAGTTGTACGCATTTTGGAATCATTAAGTTTTGGTTGCCGGATGACGATTCCGCATTTCATGTAAATAACTATTGCACAAAAAAGTGGAGCATGTCGCCTTGCACTCTGCCGGACGCCTTCCTAGTTTGTATATATTTTTACAGAAACTGGTATTGCGTTGCACTTCATCATTGAATCTATTGCGTAACCTGTTGAGTACACAATAAACTTGATTTTAAAAAGTAGAGCAGGATTTCAAATAGCTTTGGCTGCAATCAAAAGCTTGTTTTATTTTGTGGAGGTGATGGACTGAACTTCCGGAAAGCGCTGGTGTGAAATAATTGAAGAATAATGGTTACCTAAAATTAACCAATTTTTACTTAAGCTTAATTCGCAGCATTTATTTTTTTATCACTTTCCAGTAATAGCTGCTCTTCATTTGAGAGAGTTCGACCAACGCAGTATTCAACTGTTAGAGCGCTCGGAAGTACTTGAAAGAAATACTTTCAAACCAAGTTATATGGAGTTCTGTGATTCAATTTCATTTACTGGAAAGAATTTCAGCTCCGAATCCGAACAGGGAGGAATATACCAACGTGTGTTGCATAGTGGAAATGTAAACAGATGGATCGGAACTTAAAGGGAACCTCTTCTCACGAAAACCTTCTATGAAACCCCCATCCAAGCTACTGGACCCTTACAGCATATTTCACATGCACATCTCTGTTATCATTGAGATATCAGAGCTGATGAAAACCAACAAAGAAAGATAAAGGCCTTTGTCGCTTGGCCGGCATGGATCCATGATCAAAGGGACTTCGACGGGAACTGTAAGGCGTACGAATATGCAAGTTGTAATTAAATATATTTTCAAAGCTGATATTATAATTGGTATTGTAAAATTGCATATTAAGAATACGACGACCAATTCTACCTGCTTTTACGCGAAGACACGACATTTTTCATGTAAAATATAACTGAGAGAGCTCCTTTCGTTTCCTACGGCTATATTTTCAAATATTATTTCGTGGACAAATTATACAAAATCATAGCAATAAGTGCACAAATAGCGATGTAATGAGCGGTCAATGTTCAAACCGAGAGCAACGACAGCATTAGCTCCTGACAGCGGAGAGTTGCGCATAAATTCGCACCTAACATCAGTAAGGCAAAGGCAAACGTGCCAATCACACAAACCGAAACGAGTAGTCCATCGTTGACAATACTAGTACGAACGATGAATGCGAGAAAGATGAAATAGCCAAATGAACCGAAATTCGTTATTACAAACTGGTTTTGATCGATACATCAAGTCGCTCAAAAATTGACCAAAGCCAAAAAGATTGCAATTGAATTGTGGCTGCTGCAATCGAACTTAGTGAATCTTATTCGTGCCCTACAGTTTCCGTCAAAGCTACTTTGATGATGGGATATATTTTGAAGTCTAATGATTTTATTGCAACTTGCCTGTCGCTGATATTGTGCCACTTAAAAAGGAAAGATCGAGGAGAAAATCCAATCACTTCATTTCCCTCGACTCTTATTAATTGAAGAGCGCCAAAATTCATAAAGTATTATAATGCCCAAGCCCCGCTCAGCTTAATTTAGAATCTAAAATATCTCTCACTCCTCAGAATCATGCTAGAGGAACCATTTAATTTTCCGTTACAATATACGAAATGCAGAATTTTTGTGAAAATCAAATCAAATCCTACATACGAACGTACGCATAAAGATTTAAATCCAAAACTTACTTGAGCTATTCACTCGAGGTATCCTTTTCCCCTTCCAATTTATCCAGTGCAAGTGACGGACGCTAATTTATTATATCAAAGGGAAGTGAAAAGGCTCCACCCGCCTGTACTGCAGTAGATGCCATGATTCTCCAACTTATCTACTGCATGTCACAATTAAAGCCCACTGAAGCAAAGTATATTTCAAGGCCTAATAAAGGTGTAAAACCAAATACTTCAAACCTAGGATATGTGCGTAGAGTTTTAATGATTTTAATCAGCATAAATTAGAGACAAAAACTATTGTGCAAATTGCACCATAATTGAACCAATTGCGCTCAAAATAACTGTTATAAATATCAAATTGTACTTTTAACTAGTTTATTTTTTTTATTTATTTTTTTTTTTTTTTTTTTTTGATAACCAAACAGGAATCGTTTGGCGATACGGATAATTGTGCATGTGATTTTCTTGTTTCACAAATGCTACCCGTAATCATGATTTTTTCAAATAGACCGATCTGTGGTCTAAATTCCGGAAAAATTTATTTTCTATCCTAATCTAGATAAAAAGCTTGCTACACAGGGTGTATTCAGAAAATAACCCTTATTTTCAATTTTATCCAAAATTGATTATTTACTCATCAATAACTATCTTATTCCCTTCAAAGTAGTCACCCTCATATAAAATACACTAATCCTCGAACCACTTCTGAAACGCTTATTTTGGTATCGCCAATAGCTTCTGTTTCGATTTTTCTTCTATCTCCTCAATCGTAGCAAAACGCTTACCTTTCTTCGGTATATCCAGTTTTGGGAAGAGGAAAAATTCAGCGGGGCCCAAGTCCGGTGATTACGGGGGCTGAGGCATGATAACGGTTTTGGTTTTAGCCAAAAACTCACGCACAATCATCGATGTGTGTACTGGTGCGTTATCGTGGTGCAAAATCCAAGATTATTTGTTCCACAATTCTGTGCGTTTCTAAGGAATTGCTTCGAGCTAGTGGCGCATAACTTCTTGGTAGTACTCTTTTGACCGTACGGCCTTGTGGCAAGAATTCATGATGCATCACACTATTCCCGTCGAAGAAAACAGTGAGCAAACACTTCACATTTGTCGTGCTCGGACGACCAGAACGTGCATTGTCATTGACATCTTCTCGGTCTTCCTCTCACCGGTTATACCACAATTAAACTTTTGTTCTGCTCATAGTAGACTCGCCAAACGCCACAGGCAAATGTCAAATGTCCTTGCGCATTTAATTTCATTTTTTGCACAAAACTTGTTTGATCCATTTTTCCGAAGAGTAAAAAATCGAAGAGCACACCAAAGTAGGACTAACCTTTTTGTCTGTCTGACAATCCGAAATTAGTGGGTGGGTTCCAAGATGTCAGTTGCAATGCAACCATACATTTTCACGCATTTCTAAATGTAACTGTGCAAACTTTAACTATGTATCATGTTCCAAAAGGCATCGGTAAAGTAGTTGATGTGCAAACAAAAGCAAACTGCGCCTCGCTAAAGTTTTTGATGCTTTATTTTATCATAAATTCTTAACACATCCACCGACGTTGGAGAGCAAGTTTATTTGCGCTAATTATTTTATTAAAACATTATATTACTTATTTTCTTGATCTGTTCATATTTTAAACATTTCACCGAAAATGAACTTATTTGCACGAAAATCATTCCGAAATGTCAGAGTTTGCAAAATATTGTTGCAAGGTAGATTTATAGAACGCAGGGTTGCATTGTTATGAGGCGGTCTCGTAACCACATCATTACAAAATATTTTGACGTTTTGGAACTCGCCCTATCTTCTTCATTAACTGTGCAAGTACAGTGCTTGTGTCGGAGGAGTTCGCCTTTCGACTACACGTTCATTGGCATGCATGTTTTCACACATTGAATTTCTTGAATTTATTCGCATTTTCTAACTGGGATGTACATAACGAGGTGTATCGTAGTGTATATATATATACGTCCATATGCATCAAAGTTCGTACCAGCAATTCACCCCTCATTATTAATTTTATTTAGCATGCATTGGTTTGTCTGTTTCAAGTATTAAAAGAAATTAAAACAGTTTCCAAGGTCGAATAAACGATCAAATTATCACTGTTTAAGGTTTTATGGAGTAAACGCTATATAAAATGCTAGACTTGCATATCGATGACAGTGAAAATCTTTAAGTAGTCTTGTGAAAACTCTTCAGATGTCGGTAAAAGTGAACAGTTGGGAGGCTTTCAAGTACCATTGGAGAGTGTGGGAATTGAGTGGCTTTCTGGGTCCTCAGAAAGGGTCGTTTTGGCATGTTCCCTATAAATTGTACACAATTGTAATAACACTGCTATTTCCCATCTATTATCCTATCTGTTTTACGGTGGAGAGTATTTTAACTGATAACCTGAACGATTTCTGTGAAGTGATTTATATAGCTATGGCGGTCGTTACTCTCAACATTAAGTTCTTTACGTTATTCATGGTACGTAATCAGTTGCTTCAGCTGCAGCCAATACTTAAGCGTTTGGATGGGTACGCACAGACGGACGAAGAAATCCATGTTCTGCTTGAAGGCAGTAAATCAGCAAAAAAATGTTTTCTTACAATTTTAAAACTCTTCTATAGTGCTTTTGTTACAAGCCAATTAATGGTAATATTTTCAAGTGAAACTCGTCTCATGTATCCTGCTTGGTATCCATTCGATTACAAAGCATCACGTATTAACTTTTGGATTGCATATGGCTACCAATCTGTGGGCTTTTTAGTGCAATGTACGCAAGCATGCTCCGTAGATACCTATCCCCAAGCTTACATGCGCATCCTCATCGCTCACATGCAGGCGCTATCTCTACGCATCGAACGAATCGGTCTTAATGCGAATGACAATACTTCCACTTCACTGAAATATTTAACAAAAGAGGAAATGAAACGGAATTATTATGAGCTTGTCTCTTGCATCAAGGATCACAAAACCATTATCGAGTATTCTTTATTTACTTGAATTTTAGTATTTTCATATGGCACAATTACATCATTCTTTATTTGCAGATTATTTTCAACTATACAAAAGCCCATCTCTGGCACATCCATGGCTCAATTTGTTTGTACCGGTGTGGCTCAATGCACCATAGGCGTCTATATGCTTTACGTTGGCTTCAATCTATCCATTATGTTGAACATGGCTGTCTTTTTCATATCAGTAACAATGGAAACTCTAATATTGTGCTACTATGGTGACCTCTTCTGCCAAGAGTGCGAAAAGCTTTCAAAGGCCATTTACAACTGTAATTGGACAATACAAAGCAGTGAATTTAAGAGGGCTTTGTGCATTTTTCTGCTCCGATCGCAGCGAGTTAATGTATTGATGGCAGGTAATTGGATACCGGTGAAGTTGCCAACTTTTGTGATGGTAAGTAAGTTGTAAAACTCTTCAAAAACTCAAATTTTTTTCTATGAATCGCTGATCGAAGGCTGACTAATATTAAAGTAGTAAATGACTCCCAAACGGTATTTGCTTTTAATTCCCATTTAATTGGGGTTAGAAGATTGAAACTGTCTAATACGAAATAAATGTTTTCTGCTTCAAGATATTTTTTTACAAACCACGGTTTATCATAATTTTTTTTAATTTTTTTTTTATAAATCAAACTTAAATTATTATATTTGGATTTAAAAAATTATTTTCCTTTTTTTCAACTTTATTACATTCACCCATAAAAGTAGTGGAACGAAAATTAAATGATATTCCAAAAATAAACTTGAACTTAAACAATTAATTAAATAAAAAAAAATAAATAACCTAAAATTTAAATTTTTGCATGTTCTACGTAAAAAGTGATTAGAAATAATATGTATCTTTTTTATAAAAATTTGCAATTTGAATTAATTAAATTAACAATCAAAATCAATAACTTACAAAAAATACCGAGCTGGAGAATAAATTTACAAATTTCTTACTTACTTACTTACTTTACTGGCGTAGACAGCGCTTACGCGATTATACCCGAGATAACAACATTGCGCCATTCGTTTCTTCTTTTTTGCTGTTTGGCGGCAATTCAAAATACCAAGTACAGCCAGGTCTTTCCAAGGTCCAGGTCCTTCTCTACCTGATTTCAACGGTGGATGCATTGCAAATTTTCAAAGCTGGAGTATTCGTATCCATCCGGACCACATGACTTAGCCAGCGTAGGCGCTGCTTCTTGATCCGCTGAACTATATCAATGTCCTCATATAGCTCATACAGCTCATCGTTCCATCGTCTGTGATATTCACCGTTGCCAATGGGCAAAGGACCATAAATCTTACGCAAAACCTTTCTCTCGAAAACTCCTAACACCGACTCATCAGATGTTGTCATTGTCTATGCTTCCGCATCATATAGCAAGACGGAAACGATGAGGGACTTGTAGAGTTTGGTTTTCATTCGTCGGGAGAGGACTTTACCTTTCATTTGTCTACTCAGTCCAAAGTAGCATCTGTTGGCAAGAGTAATTCTGCGCTGGATTTCAAGACAGACGTTATTATTGGTGTTCATGATGGTTCCTAGATAGAGGAAATTATCGACGACTTCAAAGTTATGAATGTCAACAGTGACGTGGGAATCAAGTCGCGAATACGTTGAATGTTTATTTGATGACAGGAGATATTTCGTCTTGTCCTTGTTCGCTACAAGACCCATCCGCTTCGCTTCTTTATCAAGCCTGGAGAAAGCAGAACTAACGGCGCGGTTGTTGCGGTCGAAAAATTTCTTACTAATTATTAATTTGAGATTTAAATAACGAAATTTGTTGGTGTTTTAGGAGTTCGTTGGAGTGCAGATAACCTCGATATTTAGCTAAGGCGTAATGATCTATTTAAATAGATTCTGATTCTACGCGTCTTTATGTCTTTCCAACAAATGGAGGGTCCAACAGTTTATTCTAGGTCGATAAATTAGTATGAGAGGGCTCTACTAGTAGTGGATATATTCATTTTAAAGATACTATCATTTCGCGTAGTTTTCAATAGATGTCATGTGTTTAAGCGTGAACAACAATTGGTTTCATTCATTTGAAAAAGTCGAAATTTTTACCAGATAAAGTGTTTTTGCGGGGATTTCTACTTCATTACTTTAACATGAAGAAAAGTGCTACCGAAAGCCAACGTATTTTACTGGATGTTTATGGTGACCATGCTTTAACCGAACGAACGTGCCAAAAGTGGTTTGCCCGGTTTAAAAGTGGTTCTTAGACGACAGAGAACGACCCGACAGCCAAAAAAGTTTCAAGACGAAGAATTGGAGACATTGCTCGACGCAGATGCATGACAGACGCAGGAAGAATTTGCAAAAGTATTAGGAGTTGATCAAGCAACCGTTTCCAGACCATTAAAATCATTAGGATTCATCCATAAGCTTGGAAATTGGGTACCTTATGAATTCAAGCCAAGAGACATCGGACGTCGATTCAGCATGTCGGAAATATGGCTTCAACGCCACCAAAAGAAGTAATTTTTCTTCGGATTATCACTGGCGATGAAAAATGTATTCATTATGATAAAAATGCCATCGCGGAAAAATGATCAGAATATGCGACCAGGCACGAATCAATAATTTTTCATCATCACAACGCTCGGCCACATGTTGCAAGGGCAGTTAAAAACTATTTGGAAAACTGTGGGTGGGAAGTTTTACCTCACCCGCCTTATAGCCCAGACATAGCACCTTCCGGTTACCACTTTTTTAGATCAATGCAGAATGCCCTTACCTGAGTACGCTTCACTTCAGAACAGGGAAATTGGTTCGATTCTTTCTTGTCCTCCAAGCCGGAGAAGTCCTTTTGGGATGGATTTGGCGATCAACTGCCAGAAAAATGGGCCAACATCATAGTTTCCGCTGAGCAATACTTTGAACATTAAATGTACAACAATTTTTTCTCAATAAAGTCTTAATTTTCGAAAAAAAAACCGCACGAATTAATGCATACACCCATATATATATTATATATTATCTATATATTCAACCTTTTATTGTTTTCTCTTTCTTTCACTAATGTGGTTTATGCGTTTTTGCACGTTTTTTAGTTCTTAATAATATCATTACTCCACTTTCAAAACTTTTGTTTCTGTTCTGCTGAAGCAAGAACGGTCAAATCACTTCGCCAAGACTCTGTCTCTGTAACCCCATAAAGGGCAATACGTCAATAGGATGAATTCTCAATTTTTCATATTGGAGATCCGAGCTTAATACTCACCAAAGATAGCGGACAATGTGGCAAGTTGTTTCGTGGTTTGCCTGTTATGTTGTGTCAAGCGATTTTATTAATTGACTGGCTATGTTCATTCGCAAGCCATACAAGGGTTGACGATTCTTTTTTTATTTTATTACAGGATACACATCCCGTAGCTATAGATTTTTGAAAAAAATTTAACCTTCATCTTAATTTGTATGTAGAAATAAGCATACATTTTTATCAATTATTCCGATTTTAATACTTATTTCTTATTGGATATAATTGGAAACTGATCTTCTACCCCATGTACAGAAAATTGAAAGGTTTCACTGATTGTAATGCATGACCGGACCCATAATTTAAAGAATGGACGTATTATCATTAATTTTTTTTATTGGATGGGGTATACTGCGAAGTATGTAGTATGTATGTACGAGTATATACTAAGAGTGGGAAAATAGATGTGATTTATTGTTTACTCACAATCCGTATAAAAAGTTAATTATGTTGTCATGAGATTACAGCTCCATGAAGTTATAACCTGAAAGCCAAAAATAATTACAAATTATAATTCCTTGATTGGTGTTGGCTCCACTTACGCGATTATATCCGAATCAATATTAGCGCGCCATTTATCCCTACTTTTCGCTGCTTGGCGCCTGATCCTTCCAACTGCATCGAATACTTCCAAAGCTGCAGTACTTTCATCCATTCGGACAACATAACTTAGCCAGCGTAGTCACTGTCTCTTTATTCGCTGAAATATGTCAATATTTTCGTATAACTCGTACAGCTCATCGTGCCATCGTCTGCGGTATTCACCTTTGCCAATGTGCAAAGGACCATTATTCGTTCGAAAACTTTTCTCTCGAAGACTCCTAGAGCCGACTCATCAGATATTGATATCGTCCACGCTTCTGAGCCACTTAGTAGGACAGATATGATGAGCGACTTGTAGAGTTTCGGTTTCGTTCGTCGAGAGAGGAATTTACTTTTCAATTGCCTACTCAGTCCAAAGTACCACCTGTTGGTAAGAGTGATTCTGCGCTGGATTTCCAGGCTTGGCATTGTAGTTGCTATTAATACTGGGACCAAGAAAGACGAAGTTATCTACGAATTAAAAGTTATAACTATCAGCAGTCCCGAATGGAATGGCTGTTTGTTTATCTTCGTTCACTACCAGACCCATTCGTTTCGATTCTTTATAAAGTCTGCAGAAGGTAGATAAAGAGTCACTCTCTCTACAACCTCGTTCACTACCAGACCCATTCGTTTCGATTCTTTATAAAGTCTGCAGAAGGTAGATAAAGAGTCACCCTCTCTGCAACCTCGCTTGGTGCCGCACGGCTCCGTCCCAATTGTGACTGGTGTTGTCCAGCGTCCGTTTTTCACTGCCGTATAAGTGTTAGTTAGGCAGAGAATTTTAACCCTTCGAGTGTTTTCTGACATAAAACAAAAAACTCCTCTTAAAAATCTATCGGGCATTCGGAGGCGGCTTAAACGAAACTGTATATTGAGTAGGATCTCGGTTGAAAATCGTCTCAGCATCTGTAAAGCACCAATTATACATGATAAAAGGAAGGCAGATCGTGATCGGTCACTACTCCTGTTAAAAGGGTCTCGTGTTATTGAAGTTTTGATATTTTATAACTACATATATATGTTGAAAGCGGTGCAAGGATTATGGTATGAGCATCTATTCCTGTAATTCACATTAAAATCTTTATCCCCTTTGACCTTAGTTATTTATTATGGGATTTGGATCCCATAACAGCCCTGAAAGCTGTAGGTTATCAGCGGATGAGTTTAGTTCTGTAACTGCGCAAATCATATAATTTCTTGGCACTGGACGCAATACAAAAGTAAAATAAAAGCTGATTATCAGGGGTGTTTCAAAAACCGACACAGAATTACTTATTAATCGGAATTGAAGATTAATAATTATTTAAATTGGTGTTATGAACCCGACTAGATTTAGCTCTTTTCGAAGGCAAAGCAAAACGATATTCGAATCAGTTCTGAACACACTTCTGCAAAACCCCCAGCAATTCAATTTAGTTTTTGTACTGGCTTAAACGCATTAATGATAGAAGGATTTGGAGACTCCAGCCAGAAAACAAAGCGCAAATTTTAAGGTATAAGAGCAATCCGCTGGTGTTGCCAGAATCGATTTAAGTGCAATTTCCATTCTACTTTTACATTTGCTGATGCAAAATTTGTTGGTATGTAGATTCAAAGACCAATATCGTCTTAACAAAGACATCTCGCAGTGCTAGATGTAATTGAACACAAGTTAGATAGGATGCCCATCCAGCATGGGATCCAACTTGCAGCGACACTACGATTTTCGGCAGAAGGCTCCTATCAACGGTCTGTGGGCAATAAATCAACAACCTCTTCAGCGCGACCTACAGACTCGGTGGTTATAACAAAAGTGTCAAAGGCTTTAGAACGCTTGATTTGCCCGCACTGGCTAAAGTTAGGAATGAACGACAATGAAAAGCGGAGAGCTCGTGACCCTTTTTACATCATGTATCGTAATCCAGGCATTACTAGGTGTAAAACCCATTGTTTATGACTTATTTTTTATTAAATTTCCGCTTGCAAAGAAGTTAGCAAACAGATCTGTCCACGAATAACTGCTCGATTTAATTCTGACACTTAAACCGATAAATCAGTTTCGGTAACACCTTAAATCGTCACAAATTCTGTTTCGAAAACAAGACCGGTATACAAATCAATAATCGGAATGTGTAACCCCTTCAGCAGAGTTTTGTCAGTTTCAATTCTGATTCTGACAACAATCCGTGTTTGTAACACCCCATTCAGGCCCATTCTGTGGAAGTAACAAAATTTACTTTGGTATTAAAATTTACCTTTCAGTAAATTTTGTTACTATTTAGTATTCTGGGTTCACTGTCACCCTGTAAATTTTGTTAACAGCGAAACAGGAGGTAACAAAAATATCTGCTGTTTGATTTTCTGTTGTGAGTTTGAGAAAAAATAAAAACCAAAATGGGTTGGCATATTTTAGGCCTGGAATTCATTGAAGATGAAGAAAAAAGTGCAAAAGACGTATTTTAAGAAGTTTTCGAGACAAAAAATAACCTCTTTTAATTTGTCCAGGCATATTTTCCATAATTAGGTTCAAATATTTATGAATTAAAATTAAGAAAACTTATTGATTTTTTTGCCGTCTTCCATTTCGATGTGAATATTTTTCTTTTTACTTTATCAACTGGCAAATGTAATTTGACAAGGACTAAAAATGCAATGCTGCCCAAGTTTTTTCGAACATTGTAACCAGTTCGCCAGAATACCAAATTCAGTTTCGGGTGTTAAAGAAAAGTAACAAAATTTACTTTACCGGTAACAGTGAGTTAAGTGGACCGAGCTTCAAATTCAATGCATGAATTCTGAAACTTACATTGAAGCAATGAAATTGAAAGGTATTACACAACAAATATTAAAAAATACCAGCCAATTTTTAGAAAAGTTAAAACATTTGAAAATGTGTTCTAAGTATTTCGTGTCCTTTTGCTCCCTAGACTTAATATGTGAATATATTACAATAAACTAAATTCACTATTTAATCTTCACTGAAAATTTACCCTTTGTAATGTACTATGCGCTTTTTTGTATTTTCAGGTTGTAAAGTCGTCTTACTCTATCTTCACCTTGCTGAGCAATTTTAAGTAGACTTATTTACTGGATGTCTTATAAATTATATTGAAAGTTGTTTGGAACTTGGTAAATTTTATTTTTTTAATTTTTTATAAAACATATTTAATGTACATCATTTGCCCAAGCGTATGTATTACACTCAATAACTTAAATAATATTTCTAGAAATTATTGAAATACTTTGCAATATTTTTTATTTAATTATTCTTATGTATACTTAGGTATACAATATAATATATTGTACGTATTTTTAATTGATTTACAATAAATAAATATATTGCGTTAATTATAATGACTAGTCTCGTTTACCATATGCACACAGGAATGTTTTATATAATATTACATTACATTATATGATATTTTCGTTTTTCGAAGTTGTTTTGAAGCACGAATCATTCGCAAAATCCGAAGCAAATTTTTATCGAGAAACGAAAACAACATTAACTTAGTTTAATATGAAAAAAAAAAAACAAACAATAATAAGAGGATTAATAATGATTAGATTAATTGTTGACTAGAAAGGGTTTATAAATTTTGCACAATTTTCAACTTACAAGTAATATGAATGTATGTATAGAGCTATGCTAGTGTGGAATATCTTAAACATTTTACTTAATTATTTGTATGCTATACTATGTTATATTAAATTATATGTTATATTAAATTATATATATACATACATATATATAATGGCTACGAATATATTAAATTACTATGTACTTATGTAGTTATTTGGTTGGTAAATAATTAGATATAGATGTAAGCACCTATGTATATAAGAATCGTGGTACAACTATTAAAGGTATGCTGCCGACTGAATTTCTATGATTTATTAAACTCATTTCCAGATGTGTATCATGTTGATTAGACTGTGACGTTTTGGAAAAGAATTCAGTATCAGAAGTTCGAAAATCTTTCTTAATTTTAATATTTCATTGGAAAAATACAATAACATAAATTTCCTTTGCAAGATAAGTGATTTCGAGTTACCTCAAGCCGACTATCTGCCTGAAGAAGTCATCATGGGATGGCTGTAGTTAAGATCTTTCCTAATTGTTTAATTTATTTTTTTTTACGAAGTAATTGAGACCGAATTTCAAAAATTACACATTAAAGTTTGTTAAAAATAAATGCACATAACAGTAAACATAATCAATTAACAAGCCAATGAGGTGAAAAAATACTACACCTTCGCTAGTCATAAATCTAAGTTTACGTCTGGTCTAAATAAACGATTAGTAAATAATTTGTGTATATACGAAAATTCACAGGCCTAACAAACGTTTTTTGTTCAAAATTTATTATTTAGCGTAATCTTCATCCGTACAATCATTCCAGCGCTGCTTTAGCATTTCAATACAACGATTTATCTTTTGTCTCAGACAAAATACAATTTCGAACTGGTGAGCATATTTTTGAGGTATGCGAGCAGCAGGTCATCACTAGGAGTCAAATCTAGAAAATACGATGGATATGGAAGCAACTCGAAATTCAATTCATGTAGTTTTGCCATTGTTTTAATTGGCTTGTGGCACGGTATGGCTCACTCTTCGACTATTGAAAACGATTTTGGAGATTTTTTTTTATGTTTTTGGTGGTCTTGACTCATTTGATCGAGTCTCTTTTACTACCAAGAAAGAGTTTATAATTAAAACCCGAAACAGCACAACAACTCACAAGCTTGAGAGTACATTATCCTGCAGTTTTTACAGCTTTCTTTAGAAGATTAGTACATAAAAGGCGGTGAACGCAACAAAACTACCGCCATCTATGCGGCATACATATCTGGACAGGTGTTAAGCTATGTACACATTATATATAAAACCTATTTGTTGGAATGCAACATATTATAAATTATTGTAAATAAAATTTTGTCAAATAATCGAGATCTAAACCATTTCACCATCTGGATGATCATGGTTTTGGAGTTATCAACAAAATTTTGGAGTAAAGGCTTAAAAGTATCAAAAGCCTTTCTAAGTAAATCTAAATATAAAATAATTCATTCGAGTTTAATTATATAAAACGTGACCCCTGTAAAGGCGGTAGAAGTTTTCAATAAAGTTAATATCAATTCAATTATCGAAAACCGAGATTACAATTTCAATTTGTATTATGGGCTATGCAACTTTGTCGAAAGCTTTGTTGAGCATCGGATTTTCAATAAGATAAAAACATGTTTTATGTAGTGCATCGTAGAGTGAGAAAGTGACTAAAAATGTAAGTGTACTCGTTTGAAATTAAACAAAAAACATATGTGTGTATATGATCGCTGGTTGTAAGGCTTAACAAATTTTCAATTTGAAAAAAAAAAAAATTGTTTCTAAGCTCAGTCAAGTCAAGTTCAAAACGAGAGGGATTCTGGAGCTGGCAGCATGTTTTAATCGTTTTGTTTCTTGCCAGTTTTAAAAGAGCTTCTTGTTCTCTATCTCTATCGAAATAATATCGATACATGGCATATTTTAAACCTTCTAGTTGCATATTTAATTTGTATAAATTTGTAGCTAATTATATCTCATTTGAGTTTTTTAGTCGGAGCCTTTCTTTTACTTTAATTTACTCAATATAGTAGGCAAAATATATTAATGTGAACAGTCTAAACGTTTGAAATACATATGTTTATACCGTTAACGCTTTATGGAAATCGCTTCATAATACCAAATGAAAGGCTTCGATCGTTACTGCCGATCACAGTAAAGTAGTAATTCATAAACCGGTCATTATTTTCTTCATTGTCATATAACAAATATTCACCGAACAATTATTAGCCGCGTGCCGTGAGAAGTTCTTCAATAATACTAAAATAAAATCAAATTAACATCTGCAAATATAGAGAAAACAATGGTAATTGCTTATTTGGTTTATAAATGGCTGAATTCTAAACAATAGAAGAGATAGTATAGACTCAGAATTTTCATACAAAGAACAAAGTTTCTGTAGTGCTTGACTTAGTATCTCTTATAAATTAATAACCACAAAATATATTTTGCACCGAGTGGTTAGCATTGCGTACTGCCTTTCGGAAGGCTCTGGTCAAAAAGTCGCCCCTCGGCAGGAATCCCTCCGAGTGTATCTCTGACATGAAAAAAGCTCGTCACAAAAAACCATCAGACGTTCGGAGGCGGCTTAGTATAAACTGTAGGTCCCTCCATTTGTTGAAAAACATCAAGACGCAAAACTACAAATTGGAGGAGGAGCTCGGCGGAAAATCGCTTCAGCTTTTACAAAGCGCTATGAATATATTTATATATATATATATATAAATAATATATAAATAATTTCGTTAAAATTAACAAAATAATTATTTCTCCACACATTACATGTTTTAGAATTAAAAACAAACCTTCTCCATTTTTTTTATTTTGTTGAATACAGTACATATAAACTGCTTTATTAGCACACTACATATTATATTTAATATCTTTGTTTCACTATATTATTTTAACGGTTTCATGTGTGCACTAATAAACTAGTTATAACATGTACTTATAAAAACAAAAAAAAATTTAAGAAAATTTGTTTTCAAAAACTTCTTTTATAGCTTAATAATTTGGCTTTGAGAAAATTTTTTTTGAGGGCTTGGGAAGTATATGGATATCATAATATCTGCTTCAATGAAGGATTTAAATAACCGCTTAGACTTAGTTTATATATGGCAACATTTGTTGCCAAAACTCTCAGAATATTGAAGAGAGTGCAACGACGTAGAGGGCCGCGCCCGGAGGTGAGTTTTTAGAAGGTGAAGTTGTCTCATTATATGATTGACTGTTCTCTTCCTTCCATTTGCATAAACGAAATGACATTAACGAAATACATAAGCCTTTTGTTTTTGTATTCATACTACTAACGTATGTGAATTTGCCTCGGCACCGATCTTCTCGTGCTAGCCTTTGTCATTCCTTTTCACATTTATCTGTTGCAATCTTTGAATGCTTCTAGTTATGATGAGATTTAAATGTATATATTACTCATACATATACATTCAAATAGTTTAAGAAAATAAATTACATAATATATATATATATATATGTATATATCATATATGTATATACATATAATATTTATACGCTTTAAAAACGTAAATTATGAAAAAGAAATTAAATGAAATTACATCAAGTTGCCAAAAAGGTCTTATGTGAAGGGCAACACCAAAAGGAAATTTGCCGAAAAAAGCAACAAAAGTTTTCGAGTATGAACTCAGTTTTAAGTGAGATTCTCCGTTTTGATACATAATTTTCGTTTACTACCCTTATGTTTATTCTGTATTCTATTGAATTTCTTAAATATTATTTTAATTGGATCATCGCACACTCGAAATATTGTGTGTGATATTAACTGCCACGGTGAAGTAATACACTGCCTTTCAGGTACATTCAATCATCTTATACATACATAATACCAAATTTGATAAAAAAAATAAACCTGATAAAAAATGTTTACCTTAGTATAACCAACGTAAAGTCATAAATACTTATATAAATAAAAACAAACAAAAAAATACTGAAGAAAAACACTAGCAATAATTTTTACAATTGGTTTCTGAATTTGAACACTGTTTAACCACAGCCACTAAATTATTGTTCCATTATTATGGTATCTTCATGCTTGACATTGCCTCCAGTAATGGCCTCCATTGCTTTACTTAGCAGAGTTGCATCTTTAAGGCTGACAACTTGAAGTACTTGTGGCTCTGTGCCTGGTGCACCTTGAATTAACATCTGTTGCATTCCAGGAGAAACGGTTATGGTTTCCAATTGGTCACTGTTTTCCACCTAGAAAATTAATTAAACATAATTTTTAATTTTAATATAGTCACACTACACATTTTACATCTTTTATACAATTTCTATGCACACTACTGAATGCACTTTTTAGCCTTTGAACGGAAAATGTTGCAAGCAAGTTTGAAGCTGTATATAAAAATAAAAATTTTTAAAAATTAAATACTCGTATGTAGTAAATTAAAGAAAAAATTTAAATCAATTCTCTCTCATATAATAAAATAAACAAAAGAATCAGCGTGTTCGTTTAATTTATTTAATATCAATAAACTATTTATTCAAATAATAAAAACATGATTATAATAATTTACAAACACAAAAAATGTAACTAAAAATATATCAAATATTTTCTAAATGTCTGCTCGAGCAAAACACTAATTGTACATTATTAGAAAAATCAATTAAAAATTTGTCAGTTTTGCTATTCAGAACGTGTTTACTACATTATTTCACCTCTTACAAAAGACTTTATTACGCGTATTTAGCAGAGTGAGCCTGTTTCGAAGTATTTGTTAATTATGGTTTATATATGCACTTAATCAACCTAAACAGTGCGGTGCTTTCATTGTTTTATTTTCTAATAAAATTTATATGAACTTTTATTTCATTTATGTTTTTAACCATTTACATTAAAAAAGAAATACATACGTATATGTATATATATATTTATATATGCTGGAGTCGAAAATTCAAGCTTTGAAAGAGTTAGTTATTTCCGATTAAAATTTAATTATTCGAAAATACTCTTCTGCCATCCGTAGTGCAATCAAGTATGATGTTTTTTAACTAAAGCTTTTACTTATGCACATTTCTCTTTTGGCACAATGATTGACTAACCTGCACGTGTTTTTATATGTAGTGCCCTGCTAAATAAGTGTAATCAAGCCTTAGTAGTTACAGGTAAAACCGTTAAAGATTAATATTACTAAACAATTGCACTTAAGTAGTTCGTTATCATATTGCATCCAAGAGATCGTTAACTCGAGAGAATTCCATAAAACTTATTTAAATATAAAAATTATAATTTTTCTCAATGATCGGAAGATGCGTAACTACAATTAAATAATATATATAAGAAATTGTTAAATAGTTTTAAAATGTTTTGGTCGTGAAGACATCAAAACGACATTATGTGTCTAGGGCATATTTATGTATATGCGACTATTAACTATTCATTAGATATTTGGTTCTGTTTCTCAGTAGCAAGTAGGCTATTGACGATCAATTCATTTACAACTTGTAAATATACAATAGTATTTAGTATTAGGAACAACTCTAATATTTTAATTCAATGTGGGTCCGTTACAATAACTTTGGTTATCAATGTATGTAAATATATGTAAATACAAATTAACTTTAAAACTAAAACTACTAATTGTGTACATATATAGTTCAATATGTATCAAATGGCAAAATCAAAATAAAAAGTGCAAAAACATTAATGAGACACGAAATATAAATGAATGTATACAAATAATAATATATAAATGTAAATTATTCTACGTTTTAAACAAATAATAACATATAAAATTAAACAACAATGGCAAGTATGTTTCACAAACAATTATATAAATTATACGTGAATTTAAAGTGATTCTAGAACTTTGATATACATATAATATTTTCTTTATAACCATCAAAGCTTAGTTCCCAACTAGCGAAACTCACTTTATAATATTTATAAAGGCACATTGGTTTCATGTGTATTTGAACTATCCTAATCTTTTTAATATGGTGGAGAGATTTTGTTACTTCCTAGCAAAATTTGGTAATTGTTAATATTGACTAGATACAAAGGCACTGTAGAAGTGCATTTGTGAATTATGGTTGACTTTGGCTAAGTTACGCAGCGAAGAGATAAGAAAATACAACAATCAGATGTATTTAAATGTGCGCGTGCTTTTTGTACATTATCCTTTCTCGTCTTAGTTTGCTATGTTTTCTATTTTAACGATTTTCTCTGGCACTCGTAAAGTGTCCCTATCATCTGAGCCTCTTCCATCGCCAGCATCACCATCAGCAACATCATCAACATCATTGCTGCTCTGCTGACTAATTGTTTGGTTATCGGTATTACCAGATCCGAATTGCTTTTGAGTTGGCAGTACCGGTTCAGTACTCTCCTCACGCTTGACTTGTGATACTTTGCTAAAAGTTTGTTTACGACGCTTATGTGTGGTCTTTTTATCAATCGTAGAAACAGTAGTATTTTTTGTAGAATTCGAATTAATACCACTTCCCACTGTCGTTGCTGCCGTACTGCTGGAGCTATTAATATTTTCACTATTACCCACTGTGGAAACACCAGCTGTGGCTAACATAATTGGCAAAGTCAGTGGGAGAACAGTTGCTGTTGTAGCCATATTATTCAATTTGTTGTTGTTATTTGTGTTGACTGTGTTATTATTACTTATACTTGCAAAGCTGGCAGCATTGATGAATATTTTCGTTGCACTAGGAATGGCTTGCAAATGTTGCTGCCTCTGATGATGATGCTGGTTTTGACCTGCCCGACTTATTTGACTAGATGTATTATTACTTAAATTACACTGATTAAATATTTGGCAATTGGACGCATTGTTATTGGATAAATTAGTTTCGCTTTGATTTGCTGCTGAAATTATACGAGCGCCTCCTAGTCCACCTGGGCCTGTTGTTAAAGTGTAACACTGAAACTGGTTTCTACCGGTGTTGGTAATGTTGGTAGCACTGTTGTTGTTTCTACTATTACTATTACAATTCGCATGAGAATCTACCTGCATCGGAGTGATGCACACTGTGCCATCCCCGTTTGTGTGGATCTGCTGTATGTTAGCCATCATCGATTGGTACATAGAAGCGGACACTGGAACTGTTATCATATTGCTCACCGACACTGGATAACCTATAAAATACAATTAATGATAATTAATATAATAATTGCATGCTTATTTAGCTATGTTTTACTTATGAAAGAAAAAATTTTAAAGAAATATATGCATTCATTTGAGGGTGAAGTAAAATTAAATAATTAAATCTAGATAATCTAACGGTGCTACAAAATTTTGCTACATTCATACAGGAACAGTGCCGGAAACTTTGGACATATATAAACCAAATAGCAGTGGAGAAAGGATACCCAACTGCGGAAGTCACTGATTAATATACTTGTGTTTGAACTTTCGAGCTCGAAACCTTAATCTGATTGTCGATTATCCAGATTATTCATAGTATATCCCTCCCAACCGGAACCGACGATTCCCCAATGCAGCAAGTGCCATAAGTATCTTCAATGCAAGGAAAAATAGTAAAATTGGTAGATAAGCCCTTTGGTCTCAACCCCATTTGTCGAAGATAGACCAGCTATAAGATTTTGGTCAAGAAATGAAAACCCTTATTACGCCAGGGCCGATGGATTTTGAGGTCTTAACTCTCTGCGGCGTCCTGGATCTCTTCTTTGGGGAAGTTGAGCTTCCAACACGAAACATCAGAGCACAACACAACGACTAACACGCTGTATATAGAATTCGCCACTGGCTGTCAATAACAAGGTCAGAAAACTCATTGAAAAATAACTGGAGAATTACTTACGATACGCTATCCTTTCATTTGTTAGATCTATCAACAACATTCATTCACCCTATTGTTGAATGTTAAACCAGAACGAATTAAGCCCGCCGATTCGGTATTTCTGATCACGATTGCAGTCATGAAAAGCAGGAGCAGTAACTTTATAAAACAGAAATAATTTTCCACCGATGTAATATCTAAATAAATCGGTTGTAAGGGATTATTTAGCTTAGCACGTCAAAAGCAAAAGAAAAAACTCTGCTTCCGAAAAACAAATCTGTGGGATTTACGAGTGATTTCAGTTAGTCAAGGTCATACACTAACCCATAAGCACTAGCCTAGAAAAAAACTCTGTAATGAAGTAATCTGATCAGAACTTTGGCAATAACTTTAAACAGATGCATGAGTGTGGAGAACAAAGTGATCACCCCCCGGACCACTTTAGAAGCACTGATACAAAGTGTGAAAAATCAAACACTGCCTGTACATAATATCTTTTGGTACTTGTTTATCAAAAAAGAACCATCTTTAAAATATATCATTTGATAAGATTAATATTAAATTGCTTTGCTTACCTTGCCCATCCTCAGCAGTTATATATATCTGACCATCCTGAGCAACAGTTGCCTCCGTTAAGTCAACTGTCATATTTTCATGGCCGTTAACGTCGCCTAAACTTTGTACAGTTTGTATAGTAGCACCGCCCTCACCTTGATGCAGCTGCAATAAGCAAATTCATTATTATTATTGGTGATTTCAAAACTTTTTCTTTTTAAACTATCACCACTTACGGTGGCTACACCCTGCACTTGGGCCGTCGTGCCATCGGGAAGTGTGATTATTGGATTATTTGGATCTACTTGAATCAGAGATACTGTACCATCAGCATTTTGAATTGTTGATAACACCGTTTGCGTCGTATACTGCAAATATAAAAGTATTATATTTTTATATATTGTTTTCAAATACTTTACTATTAGCTTTTCAAGTTAAAATAATAATTAATTATAAGAATAAAGTTGTACAATAACAAAAATAAAAATTAATCAATTAATTATTAGATAGAAAAAAAATTAAGAAAAAAACAATATTAGATGAACAGATAAATAAAAGATATTAGTTTGAAAATTTGAAATATTAACTGTTGCAAAATAAAAAATATGCAATTGAAAATATAGAAGTTCATAAGACGAATTTTTTGTTGTAATAACCGAATGATTGAAGCGAAATCTGATGCGAGATTTGCAAAAACCACTTAAAAATATTCGAATACAAAGCAAGAACAACACTATACATGCCTTTTTAAATGATGAAATATTGGAAAATATATATAATACAACTGTATTATTATAATATGACGATAAGGAAGTACAACGAGCAAAATTTCTTGTGAACTCCGAACACAAACTAATTAAATTTATTAAATTAACGAAGTAAAATGAACAACATCTAAAATTGTATTTGCAATAATTGCTACTTCTTTGTTAGTACGAACATCAACATCGCCCAAAGTCAGCGGTTCGATGCAAACCTGCGCGTTTGCAATATTCTGTGCAGTTGCAGCATTGGCTTGTTGTTGTACCTGCGATGCCTGACTAGCCGTTTGTACCGGTGCTGTGCAAATTTCAATCTTAGTCGAGGCCGGCAGCGTTGCGGTTGTGGTTATATGTTGATTGTTGGTGCTTTGTATGATTGTTGGCACTGCATTTCCTTGCGTTTGAGCACTAGCCGTGTGTGTCGAGATCACCGTGCCAGCACTGTTAATCTTTACGACATTCACTTGCTAAAGGAACATCGATTGATTATGCATTAGTCGATCATTTGTAATAGTTTCAAATATCCAGATATGTATATATTATAATTTTTTTTTTATCTGCTGGGTATTTATGAATGTGCATACATATCTTATACCGAAAATAAATAATACTAATAAGTAATTTTACTTTGGTTACATAAATATAAACACTGTTGAGTTGTGAATGTTCTAATTTATTTCTGTTAAGCGTAGCCAAGGAAGCTGCACTTTATATTATATGATTGGCGCTTTATAAGCATAGAAACTGTTATATATATCTACAATATATAAAGCATATCTATATATGCGTAAATTATCTTGATTATAATATAATATTATTATGATGATACATACAACCGGCAATTGGAATAACTAATGTTCCTTGAATATACAACACAGTCGTGTATAAATGAAAAGCCTGATTCACAAAATGTTGCTTCGCCTTACCTGACAGATGAAATATTGAGAATAGTTTGGAGCAAACCACAATGAACGCCTTGATATTTCGAAAAATTCTGTATTTTTTTTGTGTTAATGCCTGCTGTATAGCGTTGCATAGTCAAATTTTACTGACATCAAATAAAGTAATTTTATTTCTATTATTCAGTGAGTTTAACAAATGGACATATGTACGAGTATAAGAGAATTTGGAAAGCGTTTACTTTTTATTTAACCCAACGCAAAAAGCCACAGACGAAATTCTAGATACTGAATCACATAAAAGTTGATTTTCTGTGATGGACAAATGAAACTCCCGAGGGTATACCAAAGGGAAAGCCTTTACTTATCTACAATTCCAATATTTTGTAGTTTGTTGATTAATAATTTGGGAAACGTAACAAATTTAATTTTACTAATATGAAATTAATTGTAGTTTAAAAATCATATATTGCATTAAAACAACAACTACTTTCTATGAGTACTTACTCATTTGAATACCTAAACCAAAAAAAAAATCTGCCAAAATGCAACACTGACGTAAAGCGAGGCGAAACTTTTATATGAATCAGCACTAATGCTTGATGAATTGAGATTACGGTTCTATTTCAGAAATATGTATATTATTTTGAATTGAAATAGTATAACCACATACACATCTGTAAATGCAGATTTACACATCTCTCTCCTACTTACATTTGATGTATTTACTGAAGCATTTGCAACCGTCTGACATGTTGCTGTAGTCGTCGTGGGCTCGTTTTCATCCATTTCGTCGTCGTCTTCACCTTCCAACATTTCAATCTTATCCTCATCATCGGCGAAGGTTGGCAAAAGATCCTCTCTTCCGTGATATTTATAGCAATTGATTACAATTTTCCTTAGCGCATGGGTCCAGCTTATCTGTGAGATGAAAAGGTATTTTAATTTACTTTGGCTTTGGATGAGATACCCTTACCTTTTGCTTGTCATCTTCGGAACGTGCGTCCATTCGTACATTTGCCCAAGGCAATTCTTTCGGCCACCAAGGTGGGCGTGTAGACTCACGACCCCAACCAGGCTTACCTCGCCCTGTTGAATATTTCAGCATGAGAGGAATGAAAGCGCGTAGCTGTGCTTGGGTCATTTTCTCCACTGGTGTTGGTATGCCGTCGATAATTAGCGGTGGTAGTTCAAAAAGTGAAGGATCTTCTTGCGGTGGCGGTGGCGCTTGCTGAGCCAATGCATTCTCTAGTTCATCCATTACAATATTCTTTAAATTACGCACCACATCCTCCAAGGGTTTCGCACCAAACACTTTGTAGCTCGTATTTGGTTTACCAGGTGTGGCCACCAAAACAACTGCCTGCTTGCCCACACGACCAGTAAACTCATATATGATACCACGAAGCTTTCGCAGTAAACGATTTTGTTGTCGTTTGCGTACCGAAGGATTTGTTTCAAAAGAATGTGCACGCTTTCGTTTTTTGGACGACGCAATGGCCGCTGCAGCTGCCACACCTACTGGTCCTGCAGCTGCTAACTGATTTGCCACATCATCTTGCACGGTTATATGCGCTAAATCTGCGTCGTCATAAAGACTGTCATCGCTGTTTATCAAATCATCGTCATCATCATCTGAGGCCATACTCAGCTGTCCATCATCTAACATTTCGATTTTATAAGTTTTTGTCGTCTGTTGTGTAGCATTCAATGAGCCAGTGCTTGTACCAGTGGAAACAGTGGTCACGTTCATTTTTAAATTTCTTATTATGTGGTTTTTATCTTATTCTATCTTTATTCTTGCTTCTACTTAATATACGTATTTTCCAATTAATTTATTTGGCTGGGCTTCTGGCCCAATCTTTGGTTAAGTTCCAGTGTTTCACACAGTGATTACATGCAATATTGACAGTAAAGAATTAAATTTATACTGCCTTTTCGTCGAAGATCTGAAAATAAGAGAGATAATAGAGAATTTTAGCAATTTCGATAGCTGTTTTAAATTTCATAAAAATCAGGTAGATCCGGATAAAGGCACTACCGTGTCTGATCAGACTGTTGGATTGACTTTCCAAGCTTTTCTAAGCAGTTATGGATATAAAACTAATAAATACCTAAGAGACTTCGTAATTTCTTGGAATCTTACGCACCCAATAGAGGATCCAAAGTAAAATTAAATTAATAAATAACAGAGGAGAATCCAATCACTGCGGGTGTTCCTTAAGGTAGCGATCTTACACCAATAATATCTAAATTGTTCCCCGCAGACATTCTTACAAGCGATAGAACTTTGCATTGAAGGGAAAATGTGATGACCCTGCGCTTACAAGCAGTAAGAAATTTGAAGAAATACTAGAGGTAGCTGAATTGCGAATTTGAAGTGTTACGAAGTAGTGAAAGTCAAATGAAAACTAGAGTTCCAGTATGCGCATTTGTAAGGTACTTGGTTATGACCAGTATATAGTCTTCGCAGATCAGTAAGAGATATTTCGTGAAGGAGCCGGAGTTCGAACCACCTGAGCGGCAGAGAGCGACGAGTCAATTTATTTCTAAAATTGAGCAGCTAAAAGGCATAGTGAAAAATTCGGCTGATTCACGTTGAGAAGAGAACAGAAAAAAAAGAAGGAAGAAAGAATGCTTAGTTTGGGCCGAAGCGAGGCTTTAGGCATTTGTCATTAATGACATAAACCATGCAAATTTGTCCAAGATTATATCAGTTTTTTTTTAGGATCTTGCCATGAATTGCTTTTATCAATTGAACGGTTGTCATTAGTTCGATTGTGGTCGAGAAGTGTCGAAGAGAACCGGAACAAGTTGATCCAAGCTAAGGGTTTTAGTAAATATTTTCAAGATATTTGTTAAATTATGATTTTAAAGCACTAGAAATTTAAGATTTTATAAAGAAACAAAATTTAAAATGACCGCACGTCACAAGCGTTTGAATGTTTCTTCGAAGTTTTACCGGCACCGTTCCGAACCGCTCACTGACCATTGGGACTCGTAGTAATTGATCGCGGCTTTTGAAAATACTTTTTATTGAAAGTACTGCATATTGAGAAAACTCTTGAATAAATGATGTTAATATTTGAATTATATCTGATAGAGGAACTGCAGAGGAGCTGCAGAGGAACTTCTATCAAATGCAGTACGGGATATTCAGGTGAAAGACAAAGGTAAAAGAATCGGCAGCGGACTATATACGAGTCTACTATCAGCAAGGGGCAAACCCTTGGCGGCCGCCGTAGCAGAGTCGTTAGCATTGCGTATCGCCATTCGGAAGGCTGGGTTTCAAATTCTGCTGTCGTACTAACATCCAATAGATTATAGAAAATTAATTTAAATAAAAAAACTAAGCTAATTTTTCTAATTGCGGTTGCCCCTCGGCAGGGAATATCAACCCCTCCGAGTGTATTTCTGACATTAAATAAAGGTTCCTCTTAAATAAAACCATCAGCCGTTCGGAGGCGGCTTAATATAAACTGTAGGTCCTTCCATTGGTTGGAAAAACATCAAGATGCAAAACCACAAATTCGAGGAGGAGCTCAGCCGAAAATCGCTTCATATATCGCTTTCATATATTGTTATTTATACCAGCACATGGGCGTATCTGCACCTCCACCACTTTCCATACTGCGTCTACTTAAGTAAGTGCCACCACATAGTTCAAAAGTATAATTAGGAAGTTAATAAAAAAAATTATGGTCATTAACGAAACCGAAAAATTAGCAACAGTATACATCCTTCTCTATAGGATACGACTGACCAAGTAATCTGTAATCGATTTCAAAAGTTTTTTTGTCAAATTCCCTTAAAAGGCTCAGGCATAGAAAAACCACTTTCTATATAAATAATGGAAAATACGAATTTACCAGACTGTCATTGATCTCAAAAAGTGTCCCATCATTATTTAAAAGGACATTAATATATTCTATAAAGGGCAAACGAAACCAGCTCGATCTAGTACAAGTATATAAAGAGTTTATACTGTGGCTAAGCATCTCGACCAAGACAGATTTGTGATAGAAGATTTCCCAAATACATCAATATCCAAACGAAACCCAGAACTCGTTGCCAGCAAAGATAAATCCAGTAAAATTTGAAGAGCTCCCGAGTTGCAAACCATACAGTGGGTAGTCTAGATTGAATAGTTGTCTAGTAAATGCGCATCAACGCTCCGTTGTATTGTATAAAATGGCGTAAAAACTCGCAGCTACATCTCCAGAGAGGGACTAGGTCCCCGACACATCTAAATAAGAATATATCTTCAAAGACGAGAAAAAGTACCTCACCACGAGTTTCCAGAAGGAGAAGTAGATCTTCTCCACATCTAAATACTTGATCTAATTCACTAAAGGAGGGAGAAAAGCCCCTCATCTTCTCCTGACGCCTAAAAAGGAAGTACAATATTTATTATTTCCTTAAAGGAAAAAAATGCAGACAAGGTTGCTAAGAAGTTGCATAATTTGTATAATTTAAAAAAAACAATGTCGAAGTTGGTTTGTCAAACTCCGTTCGGAAGATTTTTCACTCGAAGACAAGCCACGTTCAGGTCGGCCAAGTAAAGTTAATGATGACGATATCATGGATTTAATCGCATCGGATCGTCATGTAACTGAGCGCGGGATTGGAGAGAATTAAGTGTACCAAAATCAACCGTTCATAATCATATACGACGTTTTGGACTGGTAAAAAACTTGATATTTGGGTACCACATAAATGCATCTTAAACGCAATGAATATGATCCGTTTTTGAAGCAAATCCTAACTAGAGAAGCAAAATGGTTTTTTTGCAATAACATCAATCGAAAACCATCATGGTCCAAGCATGTTGAGGCGCTAAAGACTACTTCAAATGCTGATATTCATCAAAATAAGAAGTTTGCTGGGATTGGACGGGGGTGCGGTACATTTTCAGCTGCTATCAGGTGTACAACTTTGCTTCCGCCGTTTTTTTCCAAATTTAAAAGCTTTATTGCAAAAAAGTGCTTTATTGCTTACAGAAAAAAGCAGTCCTCTTTTGACGCTATCCATGAAGCAATCCATTTTTCCACTTCTTCGAAGGATTGAAAATGTTGATCTGCCAGTCAGAAGGGGCGACATCTGAGGAATACGGCGGGTGGGGCAAGACTTCCCATTTCAGCGTTTCCAAGTACTTTTTGACTACTTTTGTTGGAGGATGATTTTGTCATGTCGCTCTTGATATTGTGGCCGCTTTTCTTTTAGCGCGCGACTAAGGCACATCAGTTGCATACGGTAGCGATCTCCAATGATGGTTTCACCCGGTTTTAAGAGTTCTTAGTAAATCTTTGAAGGTTTTTTCTCTTCCACCACCATGTTTGTCTTCGACATCGAAATCACCATTTTTAATTGTTGAAACCACTCCCGACACGTTCTTTCACTCAGAGCAGCATCACCGTAAGTTTCTGAGAGCATTCGATGCGCTTCAGCTGCATTTTTTTTTTCGAATTGTAACAGAAAAGTAAAACTTCCCGCAAATGGCGAGAATTAGGCACATAGACGGACATTTTCGAGCGTGAATTATACGAAAACAAGAACAACTGTCACTGAAACGGCGATGACAATTCGTTAGGCACTGTCCACACTCACTTTAAAGGCATTATCATCTACTATGTATTTCAACCAGCCACAGCCGGTACAGCCACCAAAGTTGTACACCAAGTTGAACCAAACGATTAATTCGAATTCCTACTGGGAACAACTGCACAAATTGAATACATCCATCAACGAGTAGCGGCCAGAATTGGTCAATCGTAAAGTTTTCAAATTCCACCAGGCCAATACAAGAACGCACACACCTTTGGACACTCGCCAATAACTAAGAGAGCTTGGCTGGGAACTGTTGATGCATCCACAATATAGCCCTGACCTTGCACCGTTAGATTACCATTTGTTTCGATCTTTGCAGAACTCATTAAATTGTAAAACTTTCGAAAATAATGAGGCTATAAAATCGCACTTGGTTCAGTTTTTTGCAGATAAAGGCTAGAAGTTCTATGAGCGTGGAATAAGGACTAGTTTTAAAGGTTGCAGTTTATCGAAAATATAGAAAATATTCATATATTCATTCAACCACCAAACCCCAAGTTTATTTATTATTCATTTTATTAGAAATTTAAATGAAATGTGACTTATATAATAATGAAGCAACGAGCACTAGAAGAAATATTTTTTTCATACATTTTCAATTACGGCGACATTTAGAATAAGTTTAATTTTCATTCCATTAACAGGACATTCGTGATTATTTAATAAACGATATTTTAAAAAAAAAGATGTTTTCCTAATTAGTAATATATTAATTATCAATAAAAGTCAACACTTTCATACCCATTTCTATTAATAATAAATAACTTCTGATTTTTCATTGGCATATTAAAGTATTTAACCTGATTTAATGCCCTCGTGATTGTTTAGTTTAATTTTTTATTTATTATTATAATTTTTTTATTTTTTATTTTTTGCTTTATTTATTGTCAACGGTGAATTAACTTTATTCCCACGAAATTTTACAAAGAAAAGCGAATTGTAATTGTGTGCGTACTGCTACCCTGCAAATTGTAGACCATACGGTCTCTTGAGTTAATCCAAGAACTAATCCCTGTCACCAACTATTGGATCAACGTGTAGAAAACCTTGGTTTTGTCGAAAATAATATGGACCAGAACTCGTATTTAGATATTCTATGAAATTATATGAAGCAAAGTGCTCTTAGGATAGGGTTACAAGAAGCTTCTTGTTTCAGCATGACAATGACCCTACTACACCTCGAAGCCCTACTTTAAACAGGATTGAATATCTTTGGAATGAGCTTGAAACCGGAATCAGGAAAAGAACGATTTCAAGCAAGGCGCAGCTTAAGGAGATTATGCTAGAGGAGTGGAACAACATTAGCAGCCAGCTCACCAAAAAATTGGTGCATTCAAGGCCTAAAAGGTTGAGATCAGTAATAAAAACTAAGGGGTATCCTACAAAATACTGAAAAAGGTGAGGTTTGCATAGAAAAAAATGTCTTAACTGCAATTCTCATTTACTTTCTTTAGATGTACCTTGACTTCCTTGTGGATTCAATATAATGGCTTATCAGCGATATTACATTATTTCTTTTTTTATGTACTGGATTTCGCGTTTGTTTTTACATGAATTCAAAATTCATTTGTTATTTATGAAAATACTAAAGGAAAACTTACTTTTATTTTATTAATAAAAGCAGGTAACACTATTTTCAAGAATTTGCTTGCTGTGCCTTCACTTTTGTGGAGCACTGTACAAATGTTTGTACAAATGTTTGGCAATAAAACATTAATTTAAGTTTATATGATAAATACTATATTAGAATGTATCTTATGACAAAAGCGAATTGTATTCAAAACTAAAAATTATGTTCGAATATACTTTAAGTTGTTGTTGTTGTTATTATTGTTATTGTTTTAGTTGTTGTTGTTGTTGTTGTTGTTGTTGTTGTTGTAAAAAACCACAAAAATATTCCCCAAAGTACTTTTTGGGGGATGTTGCGGGCGTGACAGTCCTTGGCCGGATAAAAATTCGGGTCGTTCCGGTATACAAACCCGACTGTCGCGGGAACTATTGGATTTAAGTCACCTGCCTTACCGCGGGTAAATTCTTGAACCCCCAATCCAGTGTAGGTACTTCGTGGAGTAATTTTTGAGTTAGTTTCAAAACTAGTTTCATGTATGTAATTCTTGTATTACTCGGGTGACATGCAGAGAGAGATTATGTGGTCTAACCCTAGGACATCGCAATGTAAATTAAGCCATTTTTGTATAGATTGTTGTTAATTGTGATTAACTCCTCTGTCTGCGTGGAATACATATATTTGACGCGTAGTAGGAGTAGTGCAGGGTAGCACCAAAAAAAAAATTTTTTTGTATTGGAGTTTTGGTAACACAAGTTTGTCAGTTATAAAACGATTATCTCAAAGTTTCATTTCGCATTTAAGTTATGTATGACATGTTCCAATTGCTAAAGGGCTAACTGAAGTCAAATTGGTTAATTAATTCTCGAGTTAAGTTGCTTTTTTAAAGTTTTGCATGAAATTCAAATCATTCGGGCTTTCTACCTGCCGTTGTTTTGATTCGATAACAAAGAATGAAATATCAACAAAATATTACCATATTTAACCATACGGAACATAATTACACATGCATTTACTGATAAGAGAATGAGGTCAATGCTCAGTGTGAAGAACTTAATTATATAAACATTTGCGCTTGCGTGAATTACTTTGTAAAAGTAGCAACAATAAAAGCTTTTCCATTTACATTAAGTGAAACGGCACTATTCAACTCAGTGCATATGTACATACATACAAGCATATATACATACAAACATATATACGTATATACATATGCATATACTTTTTATGTGCCCAGTAGGGAAATTGAAAATTAAGACTCACAATTATTCTCCACTGGCATCAACTCAATGAAATAAGAGAAACATAAAATTGTGTTTGCTAAAAACATTCGTACACTGATTTTGATTAAAAGGAGTTTCAGCACAAAAGTCTCGGGAATACATCAAAATGCCATCAAGTTTTAAATATAAAAGTTTTTAAACGTTTAAAAATCGGAGCATAATTAAATGGTACCGTTTGACTGCTTGGAAGTTTTTTTTTAAATCGTTAAGTCTTTCTACCATTATAAATATAAATAAATAGGTTTTATACAGTATAGCATATACATAAATATATATGTATAGGTATACTTACATACATGCATTTAGTCACATATGTATATGTACTCGTATTTACCTTATGGCCAAGCGTTATAAAAAATAAATGCACCGTAAGTTGTTTTTGCCTCAATTCAATGAGGCCACCAGAGATTTGTAAGTACTACTACTACTTATGATAGTAGATTTAAAAAAAAAAAAAAACAATTATATTTTTTTTTTTTTTTTTTGATACCAAATTAATAAACTTACCTTTTGCATTCTTTGGTTCTAGTTTAAAACTAATTTTGAGCTTGTATTATTAAACGATTCCTGAAAAAAAAAAATCAACAATAATGAACATTAATAATTCATAAGAATGAATGGAATAAATATATTTCTTCAAATTCAATCGAAACGAAAAAATTGTTGTGTCAGCACAAGTAAATTTTATAAAGTTTATTTTCGTATGCTTTCTTAGTCCACCCCAATCTAAATACACACATACATACATATATGCTACACATGCATTTATGTATGTACATACATACATACATACGTGCGCATATGATGTTAAGCTGCCCTGCTCTGCTCCAACTAACACACACAATCACCTTTTACGAACACAATAATTATTAGTTTTATTTGTTTCAGTGCGCAGAATTTAGTTTAGCACTGATAAATTCACATTTTTCACAATTCTATAACGCAAACGCACTAGCGCGACAACTAAAAATGTAAAGACTTCCACACAACCACGAACCACCCCACGGACTGAGCGACGGCGCATATACGCGCACTACAATTTCTAGTAAATGTGGAAAAATCAATATTGCCATGCGTCGGTATAAAAGTAAGTCTCTCTGCAATCGCTGTTAATAATACTCTCCCAGTCTGCTGGTGATATAATATGTAAATGCAATGGTTGTGCTTTTGTCACATCCACCCACCCTATTTCACCACCACCCCTTAGACAAAGGCATTGGCGCATGCACCGCACCCTTAGGGTTGTAGTGCGGCTAGCCGCCCTCTCCTTATTCAAAAGCTGGTTGACAGTGGCACTTGCTCTTTAAGCTTGCGCAAAATATTGCTCGGTGGTGGGTGAGAATCACCTGCATGTCGATATGTATCTAAATACATACATATGCCTATGAGTATATATACAAACATATTTTTATTATTGTATATTTCTTTGCGTGTGCTCTATGGGAGAGATTTTCTCTCTATACATATATATACATACATATATATATTAATAGACTTATGTAAGAGGTGTACGTATGAAGATACAAACACAAACCTTCTATCAATTTATGCCTACATACAGTGGGTAGCTTAAATATTCGACTATCTCATTTTTGAACACTTTACCAGGAGAGTAAAAAAAATTTCACCTCGCTTTTACGTTCATTAAATTTTCTCCCAAAATACAATAACAGATGGTATATGTATCACATGATTTTGAATTTAAGAAAGTGCTGCTAGCTATTTAGTCTCTATATCTGTAGCCAATATTACTCTCATAGAGTTTATAGGTATGTTTTCTAATAAGAGGTGTTATTCCGGTAGATGTCACTTTTGGAGCTGTATTTTTTTGACATTTGACAAGTACGAACTACGCCAGTAATAAAAATGGAAAAATGCACGCTTCAACAGCGCATTAAAATTTACGATAAAAATTTCATCGAGGTCCATTTTCAGCTGGATAGCTACGTCAATAAAGAAAACAGTCGCATGTAGGGCTCAGAAAGCCCAATATTTATTGTTGAAAAGCCTCCCCATCCTCAATGTGTAACTCTATGGTGCCTACTTTCTGGATTTGAAAATGAATAGATTGCGCTATCGAGAGATAATTAATTATTAATTATTTTTTTATGGCCGGAATCGGATTTTGGTATTGATCTGCACAACATTTACTTTCGACAAGATGGCGCTATGTCCCCACAAGCAACGATACCATTGATTTTTTAAGGTAAAAGATTCTTTGAATATCAAAATAGCACCTTTTATTAGAGAACAATTAAATGTATATATGAAAAATCAGAAACACTGTATAATGTCTTTAGCATTTTAATTTAGAGAAATTTAAGTAACTACTCCAAAAGCACGGCATCATAATATCTAAAATATTTTCTGAATATATAATAGCATATGTACAAGTATATATGAAAGTATAGTTTTTCGTAGTACTTTTGGTTCAACCAGGCATTTGCCATACCTCTTTTCTGTAGCAAGGTACGTGCCCTAAGAGAAAATAATTGTCAAAGTTATGTCCGCAGCTTGCCACGTTGCAATGCTGCCAACTGTCAATGTACACGCATGTTTCAAAATAGATTTTACAAATTTCGCTCTCTATTTCATAGTTCATATGTTCGGATCTGTAAGCGACTATCAAAGGACAGGATGAATCAGTTGAATGGGTACGTCTAATACTCACTTATTATTAAATTTTTCAGATGAGCAATTTAAAGATTAAAATTAACATACAATACGTAGCTACATATGTATGTGTATATTTACATATATACTACTACTCATTAATACCTCTTTTCTTCGGGTTTGTATATTCTTTTTTAAGAATCTTAGATTTTCTATTTTAAGACCATCGAAACAATCAAAATTTCTAGCAGTAGCGAGAGCGACTGTTTATTGCTATGGGCATTATGTATGTATGTATGGATGTATATGTATATGTACGTATGTTCATAGCTTCCATTGGTTGTCTTCTTACACTGCTCATGTGCGACGCTCATCTTCTTAGTGAAACAGGAAGAAATTTCCATGCATGCCTGCCTATTCTACTTGATATAAATATAAAACGAGCACTAAAAGCGAAAAAGCGCCAACGCGTAGTCCGGAGGCCAAAATGGTACCAATTTTAGATCTAACAATTGAAGGCCTTAATTGAATTAAGATTATTGCTTCTTACTTATTTAAGACAGATGGAATAACATTGAAGATGTTGTCGCGGAACATTTGCATTTTGAAAATATTGCGTGGAAAATACATACAATTTTAGGCAACAAAATTCAAAGGGAGCTCAAAAGCTATCTAACCCCCTATTTTTTATTATATAAAGATGCATGATAAAAAATCATGATTTCTGCTCGTACTAATTAACCCAGAGTATATCTACCAAATAGATTCAATTCGCAATAATAATAAAAAATATATTAGTTTATATGTTTGGCCCTTTGTAGCTGCTGAAGCGATTTTCCGCCGATCTCCTCCTCCAATTTGTCATTTTTGCGTATTGATGTTTTTCCAAAAAAATAGAAGGACCTACAGTTTATACTAAGCCGCCATCCTACGGCTTATAAGGAGCTTTATTTTATGTCAGAAATACACTCGGAGAGGTTGGCATTGCCGATAGGCGACCACAATTAGAAAATTTAGCTTATTTTTTATTTAAATTAATTTTCTATAATAAATATATGTTTGTATTGATTTAAGAGTATCAAACTCAATAAACGCAAACGAAGTCAATACCTGGATTCTAGAGCACTTTCAGCGCAGCTTAACTCTTCTCAGCACCACTAGTGGAGTCAGAGCTGGAGCGAACGCTACAGCGCATGGGTTTCAGGGTGAATGACTCAAATGCGTACATTTGGCCACGGAATCATTGTTTAACCACCACCAATTTTTAGCTTGCACAGCGCAGCACTACTTTCGTGTGCGTGCTGGGATAACGTTAACTCAGTTCTCGTTAGCACGTATGTATGTATATATATACATACATGCTTGCCAACAAAAAAGTTCTCTTAGTTTGATAAAGTCACATGCGACTTTCTAGTTTCATGTCTTGCAAATCAAATTTCCAATTGGAAAACTGTACTGGATTAAGTACAAGACTCCACCACATGAACCAAGAGGGTAAGTAATAGAGTACATTTGTGTATGTATAAAGATACATACACATTTCTACCCCTTGGGTTCATACATACATATGGATTTGTGTATGTATAAGCTGTTTTAACTCAGTCATGTCAACGAGCTTACTCTTAAAACAATTTGTTTATATATATTAAAAGCTTTCTAACTGAGGAAACTTCAGCACGAAATAACAGTTTGTAAGAAAAAATTGTTAAAAATATCAATTTTTAGCATTTGAAATTTTTAGAACCAAATCTAAAATTAGCATTTCGAAGTTTTTTAATGAGGTCTAATATGTGGGTCTAATATCCGGGAGCCATTGTCAGTGGTTTCTGTTAGGTCTCCAGATGTTACTAAAACTCATACATAGATTGTTTGAATGTACGTATATATAACAGTAACATTCATATTTAGTCTAGTTTTAGCGAATAATTCATAAAATAATGATGTTAAGGAAAATTAAGGAGACATTAATTGGGTATGCACATTTTAGGAAACATAATGAAATCCATTGGTCTTTCTTTGACATCTAATTTGATTTTGTTATTTTATTTTATATATAATATATTATGCAATAATTAGTAACTTAAAAAGCAGTTGTATTCGAATAGTTTTTACCTAAAGTAATGGAGATAGAGGTCATTCACCAAAAACTAGGCATGCGAAATCGAAAAAAAATTATATTAACTATAAAAAAATTTCGATTTTGCCGAATCTTATTTCTGCAACTTAATGTTCTCTATTTTCCCTTTTCTATTTCTATTGCATTCATTTAAGCACAATTGATAAACAGGCCAAGCAGCAGCTTTTACTTTCGAAAATATACGACCTTTTTTCACGATTAATTTTTGCAGTGCTCAAGCACATGCAAGATGTGATGTGCTCAAATTTAGCAATAGGTTTACAAAAATAGATAACATACAACTGGGTGCAGTTTCCAAAATTATAAAATAGTTCCAAATAAAGCAGATCGGCCAAATCTCAGTTTTCAAAAGTCAATTTTTGTTTCCTTGTTATATTCTGCAGCCAAACAAATAGCTATAGCAAATGGATAAGGAGAAAATTTCTTCTAATTTTTAAATATTCACACATCCCATATCTAATTTTCACATACTAATTTTTAAATGTTTCATTTTAAGCCAGCAATTTTTTATTGTCACTCTCGTTGCTCAGGGCAGAGGCTCCCAATATGCTTCCGAAATTTTCAACGTGCTATCATTATCCATTCAGGTGACTTGACTATTATGTGCGCAGCAGCTCTATACTCTTCGGTTCTTAAGCTGAAGGAAAAACATAATAACTATGAAAACATATCCTTGTGCTTAACGAAATAATTAAAAACTTACTTTTGCTAAAACTCGTCAGCATCCACATATTTTTTGAAAACTTTTTTACACTTCAGTAGAGATTTTTAATTAATATACAAGTGTATATACATATGTATTTCAGGTAAATAGATATACTGGTATATATACATTCATATATGTGGTACGTATATAATTGTGTATTATTGTGTTTTGAGTAGCGGGGATTGCGCACAATTGAGGCGGTTGTGCGTCAAAAATCGGTTCGCATTCGAAAAACACCGCGAAAACGTAAAGACTCGGGCCGAAAACCTCACCGGTCTGCAAAAAACAAACCGCTCCTGACGGCGATAAAGCCACGTACAAGCTGAAGATTTAATTAAAGATTAACTTGATAGGAGTAGACGATGGCGCCAGCGTGAAGCTTTATAATTCCCGACCACGTAGGTTGCAGGACACCATAAGGCAAAAGGAGACTATATAAACAAATGATTCACAAATCATACTTGTTTCGGAAGCAATAAACCTAAATGAGTTTTTGAAATACCACTAATTACTAAATTAGTGTTAACTCTAAATATTTTAATAAAATTTTTTAACACACTTTAATTTTGAGAATTTTATTTTGATTTTGCAAAGAAGTACCTTATATTGCATGAATTCAGAAAATTTCTTGTATTTTTTCCAATTATATCCCTATACTGATATTTATTTTTCAATAATTTTATTTTACTGTAAAAATATTCCCAATACTAATAATTTACTCAAAACTAATAGCCCCTCCAATCAAAATATTGACACTCAAACGCAAAATATGAACATTTTTTGTGTTGCGGCGCTAGTAATGGCGCTGAGTGTACACTTAGACGGTTTGGCTTTCCCGGGCCACGGCCAAACTAAGAAATGAATTTGTGCGTAGAGGTAAACGATACATACCTACTTATGTTTATAATTATGTTAATTTTTCTTAGATAAAAAATTTAACATTCTTGATCAACATGCATACATACATACATATCTATGTACCCATATAAATTATTTTTGTTATTCTATACACCAACATTAGGAGAATATTTTCTTTTTAAGTTTTATTATAAAATAAAAAAACTACTATGCAAAAGTCTACTTTAGTAAGCCATGTCAAACTCCATCGTAGTCAATTTATATTGATTTTAAGCCGCTCTAACTGCTGAGTGTTAAAATTTTATATATTCGAAATGCAACGATCAAAAATTTATATATTATCGCAAATGTATACGAAATATAAATTATGCCTGGAGAAAACATAAGTTGAAGTTATAAGTCAATGGAGTTAGAAATTTAAGAAGATCTAAATAATGGCGAAACCTTTATTTACTTTTTTAAACTGACACATTGATCTCTACTTTGTTATTAATTATATATTGAAATTTAATTATGTACATACATACATATGTAAACAAATATTAGTCTCCATTGGGCATGCATGAATTCCGGACATTCGCAGAAGCGCTTGGCGGTGTCGCGCCGGACCAAACAACATGTAGTGAAACCAAAATGATATGAATAACACTTGACGACAGTCTCGTCAGAACTGCCACTATAACAGCAACTAGCACCATGCAGCAAGAAATGAATAATATACTCTGACACGATACAATAGTTTAAAATCACAGTGGAGCAACGCTTTGAAGGCACAGAGCCAATTATAAAACATAAGTGCAATAAGTTATCTAACTAGAAAAAATAATCACTGCACTACTCTGCGTGATACATTATAAAAAGTATGCTGTATGTTGTCTATATATGTACATATGTACTTTTTCAAGCCCAACTATTTGTGGCACCATTAAAATTACTCTACGCAAATAAACAACTATATCATAAAGTATTACATCAATTTGTTGTATTTCAATGCAGGTGCCAGTAGAAAGTTTTATACATTTACTATTTTTATATTAGATATCCGCGTAATACGTTTTGTTTATTTTCGAAACCCATTTTTGTGGGAGCAGAGCATACTCAGTGAAGAAAATTAAAACATCTATCACGTCTGCGTGCAATATACGCACCTGCGTGTAAATTTTGTTGACAATATTTCATGGTTTATTCAACGTGTTACTTTTCTATCACCTGTGCTGCACTAAGATCACATTGTATTCATTTTTTAGTAAATTTGCCACGATTCACAAATTTTTCCTACTTCTATTAAGTAGAAATCGACATTTCCGAGCAGATGAAAATTTTGATTCAGAAATTTGTACGAAGACGACGCACGAACCCCACTAAATCCGCCATAGGGAGGCGAGATTGGGGCTGTATTTCCTTCAATGTTGTTGCTGCTTTTGTTGTTTGTGTATACAATGATAAAGCGGGGTGGTAGCGGGTGGTATATGTTGAATGTAAAACGAATTACACATACAGTGCTGCCAAGTCATACAGCAATAATGTCATGCCAAATACAGGTATGTGTTATGTTTACAGAGATGATATTTTTTGTACGCAATCGAAGTTGACAGCATACTAAATACTTACTTGAAAACGTTAGAAGATATTGTTGCGAAAATGCGAGGCGAATGTCAGATGAAAGAGAGAAGCCGATAACTAGTACGTTCTAGAAACGATAAAACAAGAACCTTCCATAGCGAACAATTCGATGCTTCTACGCTTTCGTCTGCGAGCAGCCGACTGCTATATAAAGGCGACACTCAGCTGCAAGAAGTTAGTGATAAAGTAAACTCGTTGGCGTTAACATCAGTAAAGTCGTAAAGTAAACACGTTGGAAAGTACATTTAAGTAGAGTGAATTGTGCAAGTTGATGATAGTGATTGTAAATAGTAGAGTGTATTGTAATTGTATTGTGAATTACGGAGTAAATAAAAGACATTAGATTAATTCTTTATAAAGAAAGAAACTGCAAATTAAGTTGGCGAATTTTTATTTAACAATCCAGAGATCGTACCCGAAGGATCTAGAAAATAATCGAGGTTGATTTAGTAAAATCGTAACGTATTGTAAATTAGTTATATTTATATGGACAAAAACGCGATGGTAGCAAGAGAATGAACGATTATGTCCCTCTAAGAAAAAACATTTCAGATAAGTACCAATTGTGATCATTTATACTTAGATATCGACGGCCGCAATAGCCGAATGGTTAGCATTACGTCTTGTCATTCTAGAAGCAATAGTTCGAGTCTTTTCTCGACCAACATCCAAAATTATATAAAATATATATATAATATATAAATATTTGTATATATATATATATATATATATATATATATATATATATATTTAACTTGAAATAAAAACTCCTCATATAAAAAACGTCAGCCATTCGGAGGTACAATAAACTGTAAATACTATCATTTTGGTAAAATCATCAAGACGCGCACTAATTGGAGGAGTTTTGGGCAAAAAATTTGCTTCAGCGATTACGATGAGCCAAAACCTTATATTTTAATATAACGATTTAATTATAACCAAATACGCCTCGATGATTTCCCAAATTTGTTATACAATTTCTTAATTGCAAAGAATTTAATCAATTTATTACGCTATAATTCACAATTTGTCACCAATGACTTCACTATATAATTGACTAACGTCGTGTTTACCGATGTATTGTATTCCCAATTAATGAAACAGATGGTCAACATTGAAATGACGAATTTCCGGACATCTCAAAATTTTTTTATTAACATCCACATAAACATAATAATATAATCTTAAATAACGAATTCCAAAAAAGCAGGTTTTATCAATCTAAAGGTAAAGTAAAGTAGAGGACATATAATGGGGAGATCGAGGAAAAGGAATCGGACCATGCTTCCACTAGCAAGTACTGCATCGAATACTTTCAAAGCAGGACTGCTTTCATTTATTCGGACGACATGACCTAACCAGCGTAGCTGCTCTTCTTTCATTCGCTGAACTATGTCAATATCATCATATAGCTCATTAAGGGAGTCTTCGCAACGGCGAATACCGCAGACTATGGAACGATGAGCCGACTCATCAGATATTGATATCGTTCACGCTTATGAGCTGTTTAGTAGGACGGATATGATGAGCGACTTGTAGAGTTTGGTTTTCGTTCACCGAGAAAGGACTTTACTTTTCAATAGCCTACTCAGTCCAAAGTAGCACCTGTTGGCAAGAGTGATTCTGCGTTGGATTTTCAGGCTTGGTATTATTGTTATTAATACTGGTACCAAGATAGACGAGGTTGTCTAAGACTTCAAAGTTATGACTGTCAACAGTGACGTGGGAGCCGATTCGCGAATGCGATGATTGTTTATTTGATAGCAAGAGATATTTTGTATTACCGTCATTCACTACCAGACCCATTTACTTTGCTTCTATATCGAGTCTGGAGAAAGTGGAACTAACTAAGTAACTAACGACGTACGCCATCAGCTGTACACTTTTATAGAAGATTGTACCTTCTCTATTTAACTCTGCAGTTCGTATTATTTTTTCTAGTAATCAAGTAAAGAAATCACACGAAAAGGAATCGCCCTGTCTGAAGCCTTGCTTGGTATCGAACTACTCAGAGAGGTCCTCCCGATTCTGACGAAGCTTTTTGTGTTACTCAAGGCAAGTTTACACAGCCGTATAAGTATTGCGGGGACACCAAAATCAATCATCTCGGAATAAATGCAGAGGTGGTGTGTGTCAATTCTCTTTTCACGGGTTCTTGCCAAGATTTGGCGAATGGTGTATATCTGGTCAATAGTTGACTTTACAGATCTGAAGTCAAACCGATAAGGTCGATTGTTGACGGTGGGCTTCAGTCTTTCACATAATACGCTTGATAAAACCTTTTTGACGCAGAATGTGGGATCGCCTTTTTTGTGAATTGGGCAGAGCATACTTTCATTCGAAAGAAGCTGATGCATGCACGAAATCAGTTCTTCACCGCCGTATTTGAATAGCTCAGCCGGGAATCCATCGATCCCCGCCGCTTTGTTGCTCTTTAGGCGGGCGATTGCTATTTGGACTTCTTTATAGGCGGGTAACGCAACTACTTTTCCATCGTCATCAATTGGAGTTTCGGGTTGACCATCTCTGGGTGTTTCATTTTTGACCACCGTTCAGCACGCTAGAGATGTGTTCCCTCTTTAAATTCAGTATACTCTAGGCATCCGTCACTAGCTCACCCCCTGAGCCCTACCTCTTGCCTCTTTCGGCCTCTTTCTTTTTTTGACTGCAGATGGGCCTTGCTTCCCTCTTCAGCTCTCGGTCTCTATCCCATCCCTCAGGAAGTTTCGTTTGCAGCTATACGTAGTGAGTTTGAAATGCCGTCCCACAGCTCTCTTACACCGAGAAGCTAATGAGTGCTCTCAGAGAGCAGGTGTTCAAGTCGAGTAAACAACTGCTCGGTAGTATGTTGTGGTTGCAGCTTCTCAACGTCGACCCTTCCTTGTGTTTGTTGATGGACGTTCTTCGCTTCACAGAGGCATGTCCGTATCTTCGCTGCGACAAGGTAGTGATCCGAGTCTACATTAGGAACTCGAAACGTGCCCACGTCTGAAACACTGGATACGTGTCTTCCGTCTACCACAACATGATCGATTTGGTTAAGAGTCTCTCTATCTGGAGACAGCATTTTTTGTGCTGGAATCTATTGCTATACCCAATCATACCTCGGACCACGACAAAGTCGTGCTTCGTGGAGGGAATTTTCCTACTATTGTTCCAAAAATACCGTCTTTGCCCACCCTGTTCGAGGCGCTCGTAAAAGACAGCCTTGGTCACATCGCTCTTCTCTTCCATCGGGGCGTGGGCGCAAATCCGTGGTATTAAACAATTTTGTTTTGATTCAGAGTGTGGCGAGACGTTCATCCACCGTGAATACCAGTACTTGGCGATGGAGTCTCTCTCCCACCATGAATTCTACACTAAATTTGCGCTGTAGTAAATTTTACAAGAACCCACCTTCTTCCGTCCTTGTCCCGTCCATCAAACCTCCTGGACGGCGGAGATGTCAGCCTTTAACTTTATGAGGACATCAACCAGCTGGGCAGCTGAACCTTCCCAATTAAGGGACCGGACATTCCAGGTGTATACCCTCAAATCATAATCCTTAAAACATTTTCGGGGGTTCTTGACTACTTGTAGGGGGGTTGTAGGATACTTGCTCTAAGACCGGAAGTCGTAAACTGCTTGAACCATATACAACAGAATCGTTTCTGGCCACTCCCAGGTGAATGGCAGTCAATAACTTTCCTTACTTGCGTGAACTTCTGCACATGGCCCGATCCCCTTCTTTAATATAATTTTTTTTTTTACATTTATATATGTATCTTGCTATTAACATGTTATTAAGGTCCATTTGAAGAGACTCGCAGCGTGTGATAGATGAGACTTCGGTGGAGAACAGTGTGGCGAATAACAGATGAAAAGGAGATGCCGATAACTAAAGCACATTTTAGAGCGCGAGTATTGAATATTCTGTATATCGTAAGAGGATGTAAGTACGAGCAATGAGTACTTACAAAGCATATTTAGCAAAATCGTTACAATATTATTTGCAATTTGGTTTCTTATTTTTGCCGGAAATCTGACCCAACGAATCTCTTTCAAATAATAACTATAGACGTAGGTCTCATAAGACCCATTAATATATTTTCAAATGCTACTTTCTTTATCCCGTAGAATGTAATGAATGTGTAAATAATCAGAAGTCGCCCTGCAAGACCGGGCTGAAGGGTTCACCAATATACTCACAATATTTCAGGCAGCACTAACACATATACAAAGGAGAATACAGCTGAACGGACAATTCGCTTTATTTTACAATATGTTCTTATTTTCGAATAGAACGCCATTTTTATCGTTCTCACCGTAGCAGCCCGGATTATGACGGAGGCGTTCGTGGAGCTGAGGAACTGCGTCACCAACACATGACACTATTAAAGTCTTCTTTATATGCTGTTGTGCTTATAATATTTTTGGATTGTTTCTTGAAAACGAATTTATTGTTGATTTGTTATTTCTTTTATATGCTATGTAAACCTGTATATGATTTATGTAAAATATTGAAATAAAGACTGAATCTTGCAATCTTACAGTCAAAGGCAAAAGTTTAAATACACCTATAAAATTCCACTTTTTATTAAAACTAAGCATTTTAGAGTAAATGTAAGAATGCAGTTTTTTTAAAGTAGATAATTAATCAAAAATACAATCCACTGACGAGGAGCATATTACAATTGTCTTTCTTTCCCCAAACCTGCTGTATGGTTAGGTTCGTTGTCTTGTTGAAATATCTCCGAGCTTCCGTGATATACATATATATATATATATTTAAACTTTTATCTTTGACTTCGGCATCAATGCTGTCGCTCATCTGTGTTCGGCTTGTACGGCAATGATGCTGCTGCTTTTTACGTCAATATTGTTTTCTTGTCGTATGGATGTTGT